GTTTCGCTATTTCTGTTAATGTTATTGCTACTTCCAAGATAATGAAACTCAAAACCCAAGCATCACTGGGCTGTGGATTTGTTTTCCCCAAATCCAGATTATAAAGGTCTGATTAGTTTTTTTTTCCCCAAAATGGCTCTTTTATTTGTCCCTTCTTGTCAGCTCTCACAGCTTTAAGATTTTCCTTTCGAAATCTTAAAGGGAGTTCCAGATCATAACAGTTGTGATCCTCCCCTCCTGTTTCCCCAGTCCAGTCTCATCTGGAATCCTGCTACCAGACTCCTGTTCTTTTTTTCCCCTCTGTACTGGGGATTGAACCCAGAGGTGATTTACCATTGAGCTACATCTCCAGCCCTTGGTTTTGTTTTTTTTTTTAATGTTGAGACAGAGTCTGGCTCTCGAATTTATGACCCTCCTGCCTCAGCCTCCCCTAGTGGCTGGGATTACAGGTACATGCCACTATGACCTGGTCAGATTAGTGATCTTAAGTAGTCCTTTCCTTAAAGCCACTCTTCTTGTAGCCTACAGGATACAAAGCAGCCTTTGAAATCTGTCAATGAACTCTACAACTTGATAGCGACTTATGTTTCTAAACTCACTGTCTTCTATCATCCTAAAGTGAACTTTCTACAATAATCCAAATGACATCTCCTCCCACCCCAAATATTTCTTCCTTACCTCTGTACCATTGCTCTTATACCATGTCCCCTTGTAAAATGTCCTCTTCCTTAAGAATATAGCTTTCTCAACAAATATTTATTAAGCAAAGCTATATATTGATAAGCATTCAAAGTCTTTTTCTGACTTAATAGATTATAGCCTACTGAGACATTCATTAGACCTTTTTTTTTTTTTTTGAGGGTTGGGGAGACCAATGGTTAAACTCAGGAGAACTTGACCACTGAGCCACATCCCCAGCCCTTTTTTTGTATTTTATTTAGAGTCAGGGTCTCACTGAGTTGCTCAGCACCTCACTTTTGCTGAGGCTGGCTCCTGCCTCCCGAGCCACTAGGATTATAGTCATGTGCCACTGTGCCCATCTTCATTATGACTTTCAACAAAAATTTAGTAGGTGCCAATATATGCCAGATACTCTTCTAGGTGATGGGGATACACAAAAAAATTTCTGCCACCATGGACCTTATATTCTGATAGGAAAAAATAGCAAACAAAATAAATTTTAAAAATAGGGTATAAGATGGTAATAATGGCTATGGAGAAAAAATAAAGCAGGGAATGGAGATGGAGAAAGTTTGTGATGAGGGAGGGGTTGCAGTTTTTAAAAGAACAGGCAGAGGGGATCCGAGAAGGTGATATTTGCTACAAAACCTGAAGCCAGTGAAGAGGTAGATTGTAAATACATCTGACTGAATCCAGTAGAGGTAGAGATGAGCAAATGCAAAGGCCCTGGGGCAGGAGGTTATCTGGTGTGTTGCAGGGTTATAGGACTCACAGAAAGGCCGGAGTGACTGGAGAGTGATAGTAATGAGTATGAACTGAGATCAGTGTAGAGCCTTGTAGGACATTAGAAAGACTTTGGCTGGTTCTCTGAACAAGATGGGGATTAGCAAAATCTGACATATGTTGCCTAGCTACTAGATTGAGAAAAGGATATAGGGCAATAAGACTGGAGGAAACAGGGGGATTACCTAGGAGGCTAATATGACCATCAGGAAGGCAGATGGTAGTGGTTTGGACAAGGGTAGGAGCAGAATTTGCTGACAAATTGAATGTGGGATAATAAAATAGAAGAGTCAAAGATAACCCTAAAATTGCTAACCTATACATATGGAGGATGGAGCTGCCATGTTCTGACATGTGAGGGCTAAATAAAAGAGGTTTGGGATGGAATGGTGATCAAGAGCTCAGCTTTAGATTAATGAATTTGGAGATGCTTGCTGTTAAGACATTCAGGAGAGAATGTCAAACTGACATTTGGGCATAGGAATTTGAAGTCCAAGTGAGATACCTAGGAATTATCATCTATAGAGCCATTTATATTTTAATCTTTAAAAAATAATTTCACATACAAAAATAGAATAGTACCATGATTCCTCATATACCTTACATCCAACTTCAACAACCCCTGCTTTCTGCTATTACTGAATAGTACTTAAAGGCTTAAGATTGGGCGATAGATGGTAGAAATAAGTGCAGAAAGATAAGAGAAAAGGCTGGCCAATTCCTGGGTCAATCCAAAATTGCAAGATTGAGATGAGGAGGAACCAGTAAAAGAGACTGAAAATAAGCAGTCAGCAAAGTAGGAGGAAAACCCGACTATGGTATCCTGGAAGCCAAGTGAAGAAACACATCATTTTCAAGTAGAAATTTAAGTATAGGGTGATAAATGCTAGGAAAGAAAACTTAGTGTGCAATAGAAGTACATGAGAACTAACCCAGTTGGGGGCCAGGAATCCTTAAGCTGCAGCCCTTTCTTATCTTCTCTGTTGCCAACTAAAAGTCAGCTTCCTCCATCCTTCTTCCACCCTGATGACCAGCTCCTTCTCTTCGGAGAGGCTTAATTAAGGACTGTGTACTGCCACTATTGGGGCTTTGGGGATCCAGCATGAGAAAGACACCCTCTTCCCTTCAGGGAGCTTAACCTCTCTCTAGTGAGAAGACAGTCAAGCAAATGGTTTTGACAATGTGATTACTATGGTCAGATGAGCACGTGCTGAGAGAACCAGAGGAGTACATCCCTAGCCTGGGGGAAGTCAGGAAAGGCTTCTTTGGAAGTGATATCTGAGTGGAGAATGGAGTAGAAGTTGGATCTCCAGGTTCCCTTAGCCTGTCCTCTCCAGCTTGGGTTGGCTCTTGCAAGTGTTAGTTTTTGCTCACGCTTAGATTCCAAATTTTGCCTAAGGTCCCTAGGCTAATTTAAATCTTAATCTCAACACTGGGGCGCACTGGGCTTCACTCTCCTCTTCCAATATGAATGATCTAGCATGGACTTTTAGCATGGGTCCCCCTGTAGTGTCTTCTGACCTGTTCCACCAGAGGACCCCTTGAGGGGACCTACTCTAGGAACATCCAGGGCTTCCTGCTTCCATCATGTCTTTGGGACCAAGCTCTGCCTAATGACTGTTACCAAAGCAGAGCAGTAAAAGCATGTGGGTACAAAGAACTCCAGAGGACAGCTCTTTTGCAGTAAAGTTAGAATGAGGAGGGGAGGAACTCTATTTTTGTTTACCACCCATCTCCAGCTAAGCTAGCAGGATGTGTGGCAGGGAATAAGTGTTGAGTAAATGTTGAATGAATAGTTCTTAAAAGACCACAGTTCCATCCAGAGGCAGTGGTGCCTACCTGCAGTCCTAGCCACTAGCAGTTGAGGCAGGTTGATCCATGTTCAAGGCTAGCCTTGGTCATTTAGCAAGACCCTGTCTCAAAATGAAAAAATAAAAAGTACAGGGGATGTAGTTCCTGGTAAAGCACCCCTACTGTTCAATCCCCTGTACCAAACCTAACCAAACCAAACAAAAAACCAACAGTTCCATACAGGGCTCCATCGTAGGCTGACCTTCCAACTCCTGAAGAAAATCCCAAATTCCTATCCAGGTGCAGCATGATTCCCTCAGGCTTGGCGTTCAAGAGGACCTTTGCAAAATTTGGAAATAGGGCCACTTGATGACTCTTGGGTAAACAGGTGCAAGCACCACTCTTGCCGCCAAGCTTTTCTTACACAGATTCTCAAGCGAAGGCAACTGTTGGTATTCCCACCGCCGGCTCCCTAGGCTTGCGGAGGCGTCACGTTCAGCAGCCAGACATCCAGCCAGCCTGTCATCCACTCGCCCCGAGGCCCCCCTCTCTCTCCCAGCTTGTATCCCACCGGGTGGCGGGGCGGGCACGTGCCTATGTCTGCACCCCCTCCCGGGCAGTCGGGACTGCTTTCCGCGCGCCGGTGGATATCCAGGAAGGGAAATCCCGGAGGAAGCCATTGTTGTCACGTCCCCTGTTGTCGTCATCAGCGAGGCGGGCCAAGGAGCTGGGTCCCCGTGTAGGCCCCGCGGTTTCTCCCCATTCTCGAGCTAGGCTACCCGGGCAGCTGGGGACGAGGCGAGTGCACCACGCCTTGGAGTGCGTCGGAGCTCCTGATCATCCCAGCTCCAGGGTTTTCAGAATTGGGGAAGCCCCAGGCTGGGTGGCGAGTTTAGAAAACCGACGGCGCCAGGGGACGAGCCCGGGCCCTGGCACAACCGGGCAGGGGCATGAGCGGCACTGTGGCTCTAACACAGGCCAACAAGGTGACCTTGGTCGGTGGTTTCACCTCATTACCCCAGTTTGCCCTCCTGTGACCTGAGCTGAGAGCTGAGGTCCTTTCAACCTCTAGAGCCTAGGGAGATTGGAGAGCCCCGCCCACCCGACCCCGCCGCTTCCCTGGCTCCCCTGCCCCTAGCGGGTACGTGAGGCGCCGGTGCGGGTACTGGCTAGAAGGAAAGGCTGGCAGCGGCGCGGAGCGCGGCGTGGGTGGAGGAGCGGTGGGGAGGGCGAGCGCAGACCCTCGGTTCTCTTTTTCTGCTGGGTTGCGCCGCTCAGTGCGATCCCTTAGCACCCTCCACCCGCAAACCTTGGCAAGAGCCGAGAGGCACTCTCCCCCGCCGGAACAGCCAGCTCGCCGCCCAGCTTGCCTAATCCGTTTTAAGCCTCACCTCCTCCGCGAAGCTCTCCCGGGTTAACCCCATCACTTCCAGTCACTCTAGCTGGCACGTGCTCCAGGGTTTTTTGTTTTTGTAAGTGCACACACGGTCTCATTTTTTTTTTTTTTTTAACAATAATGTCCAGGCTAGGTGTCTATTCTCAGGACTCATAGTTCAGGACGCCCAGTGTGTTCTGAAAGATGCGGTTGATGAGTTCCTTGCCCGCCCTCCTTCACTAACCATTTCCACACTCAGTGCTTCCCCATCCCTGCTTATTCTCTCCCCTCCTCCCACGGACCCTCCTCTTCACAGACTGTCGCAGCTTAGAGTGCACAATCCAATTCCCACCCGTTTTCATTCTACAGGGGCGGCAAGTGCGAGGGGCAGAAAGCATTGAGCATTTGAAGCTTCATCTCTAGCCTCGGCCATCGGCCATCGACTTTGCCGTAAGTCACTCCTTATACTAGGTTTTAATGCTCCCCAAATGAGATAATGCCCCAGAAGGTGCTCCACTTATGGAGATAAGGAATCACAAGCTGACTGCAACCTGCCTCCGTAACCAGTGGCTTGTGACCCCAGAAAGGTAGTACTACTCCTGGTGTCTCACTCAGCCTCTCAGTGAAAGCACTGTGACTCACACTCTTCAGTCCCAGTGGGGCGCCCTAGCCCGATCTGGGAGAGAAAGAGGATGAGGTTTCATTCAGGGACCTTTATTCATCTACTGCATGGTCTTGGACATTTTTTGGGGGACCCAATTTACTCATCTAAAAAGTAGGGATAATAATGGACAGCAGGAAGCTTTTTGTCACTCAAGGTTTTTGTAAAAGTAAACTATTAGCGGAACAGTGCTCAACTGAGATTTTGCTGTGAATTCCTACCCCAGAGATTCCACAGTGGGTTTTCTTGCCAGTGTTCTTGAGGTTCTCTGGGATGTGTCTTTGCTCACTCCACATTCTTCTTGGTTCTCTGGATATAGATTTGGCCATAAGGTTACCGGGTGGCAGGGCGACACTCCAAGCAGGCCTGCAAGGGTGGTGTTCCTTGGGCTAAAGTTGGTCCTTGGGAGGTCCCTTAAGCCTGAGGAGCTTGTCTTGGAACGGCTGGGTGGGAGTTGGGGCAGGGGCGGAACCGGTCCACTTAAGGGGTGGGGCTGTGCAGATGAAGCGTTCTCTAGAACTGGGGTGGCAGGGCGCTCCCCGTGTCCCCACCTGGCTCTGGCGCGGGAAAATAGGGCTTTGGCTATGAGGGCGGGACTTAGGGGGCGGGGTTTAGGCGTGGGAGAGGGGACGGGGAGCCTGGAGGCGGGGCTTTAGGAGATAGCCCCACGCGGGGCGGGGCTCCAGCTGCCGCGGGATCTGCAGTTCGGACTCCGCGCACTATAGTCTCCGCAGTTCCCTCCATTCTGGTGGCCCCGCGGCCCTGCGGGGAGTCCGGGGGTCCGCGGGCTGCTCGAGGCCGGCCCCGCCTCTCCCTCCTTCGGTGGGGCCTAGACGGTCGGAGCAGCTGGACATGGAGCCTTCTTCCGCCACCGGAGGCTCAGAGACCACTCGCCTCGTGAGCCCCCGGGACCGTGGCGGCGCCGGCGGCGGCCTGCGTTTGAAGAGGTAGGATAGACCAGGGCTGGCCCTCGGCCCGGGGGCTCCATCCTCCTGCCATTCTGTCCATTTCGTTGTCTCCTTCGGTGCGGGCTCGGCAGGCCACCCAAGCGTACAGCGGCTCCCTCGGCTTCGCGGCGCGGGGCTTCGTTCCCTTCGGGCGCACAGAGCCCCTCGCCCCAGCCAGCCCTCCTTAGCAGCCCGATCCCCTCCGGCCTGCAGCCCGCTGTGCCTCCTCCCGGCCATCCCATTTTCTCCCGCTCCTGCGAAGCTGGTCCCCAGCCGACATTCCTCGTCTCCGGCCCCCCTGCCGCCCCCGCCGCGTCTGACTTCCCTGGGAGCGTCTGTCGCTCCGTCGGGCCAGAGTCCGCGCCAGGTGCCCCGATGTCCGCATTGCCCCGGGCCCTGGCGGCGGGAACACCTCACCACCCAGGGTTCGGAGTTCCATGTCTAGGCCCCGAGCCCATCTCTCCGCACGCCCGGGCTAGGGGCGCCCCCTCCAGCCGCGGCCAGTTGTGGGCACCCGGGCCCGAAGATGAGCCCGGCTCGGCGGCGGGTCTTCCCGGCTCCTGGGGAGCTAGCGGCCGTGGGGAAGAGAGGGGGCGGCTAGGAAGGAGCAGGTGCGGTAAGGGCGGCTGGGGGTATTCCCGGCTCGGCACAGACGGGGCCGGGGGCGGCGAGGTGTGAAATGAGGCGCGCGGAGCGGCCGGGACAGCGGGCCGGGGGCGGCTGGAGAACCGCCTCCGCACCCTGCCAGCCTCCCGCGCCCGGCGCCCGCCTGCTCCATCCGCCTTACCCCTCGGCGGCAGCGCTAGGCCTTTCATGGTCACTTCTGCTGGCCATTTTGTCTGGTGGCTGACCGTCTGTTTGTCTCCAGAATTTGGCATGGTCTCCAGGTTTTTCTCTTCCTAATCTTTCTCTCTGTCTCTCCTAATCTTTCTGTTTCTCTCCTGCCCCGCTCCCTTTGTCTTTGATGAGGTGCTTTTGTGTGTTTCTAGCACTTTCCTTGGGAGGGGACCTTAAACCTGGGTGATTGGGGGAATGGGTGAGCAGAAGAGAGGGAAGACTTCCTGCAGGGGATTGCAGAGGTGGGCCGCTGTAGGGGCTCCAGCTGTGACCCTGGCATCTCTCAGGTATCCTTTTGACTTTGCATCAGCTCCTGCTCCCTTGCTCACATCACCCTGCCTTCCCCACTAGATTTAATTTGTTTGTTGAGGGCTTTGAGGGCCAGGAGAGGGAACAGCCTTTACCCACTCAACAGAATGTAGCTATCCGGGCCCACACATACCCCTGGCATCCCGACTAGGAGGTCTGTTTCATTCCCAATTCATGCAGAACAAAAGGGAGCAGCCTGTTGATGGATAACTACCTTGATGATTGGTTGTGCTGTGCCTTATGAGGCCAGGGAAGGCGCCCTGCCCACTGCCCCTAAAGCCACCCAGTCTCTGTGACTCTGACTCCCAGCCCATCTCCATTCTCATATGACCATTAGTCACCAAATCCTGCAGGGTTTTCAGAAAGAGGCTCTTCCTATCTACCTGCCCATGCTCTGACACTGCACTCAGAGCCTCAGGCCTGGTCTGTGCTCGACCCCTCCACCTCTTCTCCTCTCTCCATCCCATCTGCAAGGTCATCTCTGCAGGAAGATATTTGTTCAGTAAATCAGCACATCTCCCTTTATGTTCCTTTGAAGCCATCACTTCCTTTCCCCTTTCGTCTCACACTTAAACTGCAAGCTGCAAACCTTGTCATGGTTGTTTTACGTGTCAGGAGAACCCTCCTCCACCTAGGGCTCATGTCTTCCCCTGTGAAGTTGTCTTCACCCCCATTAGAGGTGGTCACTCCCAACAGTGCCCCAAAGTCCTTTGTTCATAACCTCACCTCGATAGCCTCTCCCTGCCTAGAAGCTATTTATTACACATCTGTCTCTCCCACCAGACTGGACTTCTATATGTATGTACTGCCTGGCACACCTCATAAAAAGAGTAAGGATGGACTTCAAAGCCACTCTCATCTCCCCACTCCCTCTGAAAACACCCAGAAACATGTATACCCAGGTTCTATGTCTTGGAAGGGGCTTTTGATATCCAGGAGATAAATCTTCCTACCAGCACTTGGATTTTCCCCACAAGCACCAAATGCCCTCAGCTTCCCTCAAACCTTGGTTCACCTACTTGTGGAGCTTTCTTCAGCCAGCGGCCCCAGGCACCTTTCCACTGCACCTCTGTGATGAGTTTCTGTTTGGAGCCATCATTTTCCCTGATGGGTATTCTTATCACACCTCCACAACTATTTTAGATTGTCATGGGTGTTTTGTTCATTTGTTTAGGTTCTTTATTCTGTGGATGGTTCTGTCCTTGCTGGGGTTCAGTTTGGATAGTGATGGGGTGAGAATTGGGTCAGAATAGACCTAAAATAGCCCAAGCTCAGCCTCTGGCCCCCTCCAGGGAGGCCTCCATCCCCATTCACTTGTCAAGATAGGCCATGGTGCCATGTAGCTAAGAGGGCCTCTAGGTGCTTATGGTCAGACTGAAGTCCAGTTAACCTGTGGCAGACTCCAAACCAGTGCTCCCATACCACCATCTCCAGCTGTAGCAGGCTGCAGCTCTTCTTCCTATGACAGCCTCAGCTCTGGAGCCATCAGTTTTCTGAGCTGGGAATCTCAGATGTTTTGGGTCCCAATATTCTATTCCTCTCTGAAAGGACAACACTTTTGCTGGGTATCTAGATAGGGAGGGCAGGCTCTGGGAATGGAAGCACCAGGAAGAGGGCTGGGAGAGCCATGTTCATGTGCTGAGTCCTGCTCCACATTATCACACCAGTGTCCCTTCATGTTGCCTTTGCCTGGCACATTCACTCATCTCTATCAAAGTCCTTCCAATTCTTCAAGAGCCTCTTCATGTTGCCTCCGTCAGTTGTTTCCCTGACTTCCTCACTAGAACTCACCTGAGAGGTGCTCTGCTGCCAATAGCCACCCTGGGCTGTATCATAGTGTCTAAGTGCACATTCATCTTGCTCATCAAGACCTCCCAGAGACCAGGAAGGATGTCCCACTCAATGTGTTTTCCTGGTGGTGCCTATCATAGCAAATTAATTTGGTTGGGTTCTACTGTCAACTCTACCACCAGCCAACTGTGGGGCCCCCATCAGTCCTTTCCTGCTCTGAGCCTCATGCTTCTCATTGTTAGATGGGACCATTCATCTGTAAGATGCCTTCCAGCTGTGAAATTCTGTGGCTCTGTATAAGGAAGGAAAAGGGAGGTCAGGGTCTAAACTATTTCATGGCCTCCATCTGTCCACAAGGCTTAGGGCATGACCCGGCCTAGGGAAAGAGCGGGAGATGGTCAGCATTTGCTGAGGCCAGCATGGGGGATGAGGACCTGGGAATGAGCAGGTCAGCCTGACAGGGGCCAGACTCCAGGTGGAATGGTGTTGCCCCCTCAGTCTCTTCACAGAGCCCTCGGAGCCCCTCCCTGAGGAGCCCAAGCCTGTGGAGATGCCCTTCCACCACTGCCACAGGGACTCCATGCCACCGCTGGGCCTCACGCCTGAGAGAACGCGGGCGCGGAAGCAGCTGTACGCCGCCTGTGCTGTTTGCGTCGTCTTCATGACTGGGGAGGTGGTTGGTAAGTGGGGAGCAGCTCTCCAACCTGTGCCAGTCCAGGGATTCCTGAGTGGAGAGGCGGAAGGTGGAGGGGTGGGAGGGGTGTGCCCAGGACTCAGGAGGCGGGAAGAGGGGTGGTATTAAGGGGTTCAGGGTGAGTGACGGCAGTGCTGGCAAGCCAGGGCTGACCTCTCCGTGTTGGCTGGTATTTTAAAAAGCTGTGTCTTTTTATTAAAATAGAATATCATTGTAGAAAAACCTAAAAACATGGATGCATGAAAAGAATAAATAAAAACCTGCCCTTAATCACACCCAAAAAACCCAGTTTTCTTTTATTTTGTTTTAGTTGTAGTTGGACACAATGCCTTTATTTTATTTTTATGTGGTGCTGAGGATCCAACCCAGTGCCCTGGACGTGCTAGGCGAGTGCTCTACGGCTAAGCCGCAACCCCGGCGCCCCACTTTTCATTTTTGTGTGTTCTCCTCTGTTTATTTTCTGTGTCTGTGAGCACAAACTATGTGATACTTCCTAAAGGGAACTAGACTTCACATAATTTTGCCCTTGCAGGTGGGTATTTGGCACACAGCCTGGCCATTATGACTGATGCCGTCCACTTGCTGGCAGATGTGGGTAGCATGATGGGCAGCCTCTTCTCCCTTTGGCTCTCTGCCCGGCCAGCGTCCCGCACCATGACCTTTGGCTGGCACCGCTCAGGTAAGGCCCTGCATGACCCAATGCCCCTAAGTGTTGCAGAAAGCACCTCTCAGGGTCCTGAGCATGTCTCTGACAGCTTGTCTCCCCCTGCAGAGACTCTGGGGGCTTTGGCCTCTGTGGTCTCCCTCTGGATGGTCACTGGTGTCCTCCTGTACCTGGCCTTCCTCCGCCTGCTGCACAGTGACTACCACATCGAGGCAGAGCCCATGCTGCTGACCGCCAGCATTGCAGTCTGTGCCAATATGATGTACGTTCCAGTGTGGAGCAGGCACTATGTGGGACTCAGGGCGAGGGCTCTTCCTCCAGGATGAGAGAGCTGGCTCTTCCACACACAGTTCTCCACTGTCTGCTTTGGATCAGCTAGAAAAGGGGCCAGGGCAGAGACCTGTAATTCAGAGTGAACAGACATTTGTAAAGGGCCTGCTGTGTACTGGCCCCTTTGGGGGTCTTTCATCGGTATAATCTCAATTAAACCTCAAGTCACCCTTTGAAGTTGGTAGTATTATTCCTTGTTTTCCATGAGTGTAAAAGATCCTGGTGGGGGTCTAGGTGACTTGTCCAGGTCATACAGCTAATTAACTAGTAAGGCCAGGATTTGAATCTATGTCTCTGGCACCAAGTCCAGTATTCTTTCCCCCAGGCTGCATTATTTATCTCTCTTAGGCAATGCTGGTTTCTTCCTGGGGCTGGGAACACAGGTAGATTGGGCTCCTGGGGCAGTGGGAGGAGGTGGCATGGAAGTGGGGCAGAGGAGGTCAGAGAGGCTGCCTGTGCTGAGCTGCTCTGCTTTCCCCTCAGAATGGCCTTTGTGCTGCACCAGGCTGGGCCTTCCCACAGCCACAGGTCTAGGGGGGCAGAGTATGCACCGCTGGAAGAAGGGCCTGGTGACCCCCTGTCCATGGGGAACACCAGCGTCCGGGCGGCCTTCGTGCATGTGTTGGGGGACCTCGTGCAGAGCTTCGGGGTACTGGCTGCCTCTGTCCTCATCTACTTCAAGGTACCACCTGTGGAGGCCTACCCCAGCCCTCCTTCTCACTCCAAGTCCCAGCCCCTCCTTCAGAAACCCTCAGCCTCTGACAGCCTCCTTCAGGCTCCCAGCTCCCAGCCTCTTCTTGCCCTGGATCACATTCCTGTTCCCCCTCTGCAGGGCTCCCCTCTCAACTCTTATTTGTCTGATTCTCCCAAGACCTTCCTCTAGAGGTCCCTGTTTTCTGGGCTTAAGGATCTCTTTCTCCATAGCCTCAGTACAAGGCGGCTGACCCCATCAGCACTTTCTTCTTCTCCATCTGTGCCCTTGGATCCACCGCCCCCACTCTCCGAGATGTTCTTCACATCCTCATGGAAGGTGAATCCAAAGCTACTGCTTCCCACTCCAGAGGCCTCTCTGACAAAACCCCAGCACTGGGCCGCCCCTCTTTTCTCTGGAGAGAGTGTACAAAGGCTGAGTCATGAGACCTATTAGTGAAAGAAGGATTGGGACACAGGGCAGATCGTGGAGGTCCACATGGCCGTTGGATATAGGATCAGGGAGGCGGAGTCGGGGGGACTGCCCCTGGGCAGGAGCAGCCCTGGCAGTAAGACATTATGGTGCTGGTTGCAGGTGCCCCCAGTGGTGTGGGGTTTGAACCTGTAAGAGATACACTGCTGTCGGTGCCAGGAGTCCGCGCAACCCATGAGCTGCACCTGTGGGCCTTGACACTTACTTACCATGTTGCCTCTGCACACCTGGCCATTGGTGAGTCTACACTGGCCCCAACCATTACCTTCCTGGAACCATCCTCTGGCCCTCAACATGTGACAGTAGGCTGAATTACTGGGGATTGTTTCATTCTTGATCTCTCTTTCTTTCTCTCTGTCACACACACACTAGAAAGAAGGAGGCCTTGACACTGTGTTCTGGGGGAGATTTCACCCTTTCTGAGGTAGTATAAGAAACCAACAATCCTTTAAAAAACCACTAGTATCTATAGGTCTAGTGATGGGGCACAGTTAACTTATGCCACTCAGTGGGATATCACATCACTATGAAAAATGACAATTATGAAGTCTGTATGGCAACTAGGAAAAATGTTTATGGTATAATGCTGAGAAAAAAGCTGAATATAAAATTGTATCTACATTATGATTCAACTATTAAAAATATATACAGTGACTCATGAGCTGACAAAGAATTTTTTAGTTTCTTCCAGATGCAAGAAGCAATCAGAGACATGCAATTTAGATGCCAAAAATATCATAACTTGTGGGATACTTGATGGTAACTCTAGCAGGACAATGAGACAGAATGTTTAACATCTGAATTGTCCTGGAAAGCCCGGTGGTGTGGTTGATGAAACATCTAGCTGTATGTTAATACTCAAAGGTAGAAGAAAATAGAATAGTAGGAACAGTTTAGTGTGTTAACCATGGTCTATTAGGGTGAGTCTTTCTGACATTTTCTTTGATGATTTTATGCTATTCATACAATACAGAAAGAAAAGCAAGTGCGCCATTCATGCCTAGCTTTAAGGCTATGCAGCCCTCAGGCCCCCTTCACTCTGTCCTTATCGCAGCCTGCCTGGTCCTGACTCCCTGGGGACTGAGGCTGCCTCTTATCTCTCTCCCACAGACTCCACGGCTGACCCTGAGGCTGTCCTGAAAGAAGCATCATCCCGGCTCTACTCGAGGTTTGGAATCTCCAGCTGTACCCTGCAGGTCGAGCGGTACAGATCTGAGATGGCCCGGTGTCCACGCTGCCAGGAGCCACCCCAAGCCTGAGCCACAGCCCCACCCTCACCCCACTGCCAGGCCCAGGCTCAGTCCTGGACTCTCAGCACCTGCCTCCTTGGTCACGGAGAAGGAATGGAGCTGGGCCCATACCTTTTCCTCTCTCCCTCTTCCACCTGCCAAACGCCCCAGCTCCAGCCCCAGTGAGCAAGACCAAAGCGTGTGGGGGGGAGTGTTGGGTGGGAGTCAGGCTGAACAGCTGGAAGCAGGTCAGAGGCAGGGGAATGTAAGAAGCCCCCACAGTCCCTGCTCCCCACAGCCTGGAGAGCCACGCATGTCCTTTCTGTGCAATCCATGTGTCTGTGTGGCAGCCTGTCTGGCTGTGTGGCTGGGTCATCTGCCTCTCTGTGCTCTTGGTGTGCCTATGCCTGGGGAGGTCAGCAGGGGCCCCCTCCCCATGTGGCCCTCGCTCTGTCTATGCAGGGGTCCCAAAGCCTGCACTTTCTCCATGTGTCTTAGCCCTGTGGTTTTGTCTGTGTGTGTGTTCCTTGGTGCTGTGGCCTCGGTGTCTCTGCCTATGTGGCTGTGCTATGGTCTCTATGAGTCTGCTCCACCCATGTGTCTGTCTGGGAGTCTGTCTGTCCATCCCTCTGTTGGTGCTGTGCCCCCGGCTGGCTCTCCCAGGGAGAGGGAGGACTCTTGCTGCAGCTCCACCAATAAACTTGTGTCTGACTGCATCTTCTAGCCCCGTGTGACTCCTCAGCGTGGGAATCAACTGACAGACTCTGCAGCTGGAGTGACCTCCCATGGCCCTCATGTCCCTTGCTAGCCCTCCACCCTCATTCAGAAAGAGGCAGAGATACACCAGCCTCTTTCCTCCCTTTCTCTGTTTCACAGTATGCTCCAGCGTGGTCCTTGGTTCAGGGAGAGTCCCCATGTGCCTGGGCTTGGTGGCAGGAGAAAGCTTGCAGGCTAGGAGTGAAGCAAGGATTCTGGGGAACTGTTCATGCTTAAAGGCTCCAGGAGGCAGGATTCCTTCAGGCTGGTTGCAGGGAAGCTGGGTGCCTTTGCGGGAGGGGAGTTGGACCACAGAGCTCAGTGGACTTGGTCCTTATGCTGTGTAAAGTACTTATGCGGAGGGTGGCAATCTTGAGCCCAGGTGTGGGCTATGTGTGGATGCACATCTCTGGGACAGCAAGAGGGTGACAGGAGCAACCGTGGCCAGAATGCAGGGGTGGGGAGAAGTGACAGCTCCTGCTGCCTCTGACACAGCCACATCATCAGTGACTTTGGAGGAGGACATTCTTCCTACGTTTCAGGCACTAAGATCTCCCTGTCCATGGAAGAGATATGGGGTATCCAGGGTTGCTGTCTTCAGTAAGCTTTCCACAACAGAGCAAAGAGTCCCTGTTCTTTCTGAGAACAACCTAGGAAATACATGAGCCTGAAAAAGAACATTTTGGTCTTCATTGGACAAAAATTATCCCCTCCCTCTTGTCCCTTTCCTCCAATCTTTTCTCCTTCCTCTTTTCTTCCTATGCCCAAGCTTTTCTATATTGGTAAATTTTGCCAAGAAATATTCTTTTCCAGTTTGCTGTGGGCTTGGTTGTCATAAACCAGCCTTCACATTAAGGGCCTCTTTTATATTTAGTCTCCTTTGTCTTAAAAATTACAAATTTCTGGGCTGGGACTATAGCTCAGTGGTAGAGCGCTTGCCTCACATGTATGAGGCACTGGGTTCTATCCTTAGCTCCACATGGAAATAAATAAATAAAGATATTGTGTCCATTTACAACTAAAAAGTACTTTTAAAAATTACAAATTTCTGAAGATTTAGTCTTACAGACCAGCCACATTAAGCAAATATTGATCATCTCTTTAAAAAAAAAAAAAGCAACTCAGTAGGGTGTACCTGTAATCCTAACTACTTGGGAAACTAAGATAGGAAGACCCCAAGTTTGAGGCCAGCTGGGCAACTTAGACTTTTGTCTCAAAATAAAAAGGGCTGGGGATATGATTTAGTACTGGAGCAGCCCTGGATTCTATCCTAGCGCCACACACACAAAACCAGTCTCTGTGCTTTTAGACTGGGCATTTCCATTAGCCCATACATGTTTCTGTGAAGATTTTTCCCCATAATGGAAATACTTTTATTATAAAAGTAATATATGCTTGTTTTAAAGGTCCAACAAAGGCAGTATCTGAAGTAGGTGAGTGTTTTGATCTTACTCCCAGAGGTCTCTGCTAGTCAGCAGGGGTCCGTCCATCCACATTTTTGTGCATACTGATGTGTTTATGTGATAACATAAATGGGGGTGAGAAGCGTCTAAATCCTGACACATCTTTCCATGTCAATACACACGGATTTCATGATGTTTTTTTTAGATGAAGCTTTTCGACTCATTGAAAATAGGCCCCAGGCTGGGCCCCTGGCAGGTGGCCCAATGGCTGGGCAGGGTGTGGAGGCTGGGCTGGGGCAAAAGCTGGGGGTCCACCCACTCAGGCAGTCTATGGGAGGTTGCCCCAGCTGCTCACCACGCTTTGCTAGTTCCTGACACTTTCTCATTTTATGTCTCATTGATTATGGGCCCCAAGTGACAGGATGGGGGTGGGGAAGAGTGAGGAAATGGAGAAGAGGAAAGGAGGGCGGGAAAGAAGAGAGCAAGATGATCACCCTGTGAAGAGCTTTACTCCGGGGCTGTCCTAGGTGCCCAGTGCAGGTGAGGAAACAGAATATGCAGGGCAGAAAGAGAGCCAGGCATACCATTCATAGGCTGCCCCATACCCTGCAAGATGAGGCTCAGAGAAGGAAAGGACTTCCCAGGCTCGCACAGCCAGTGGTGGGCAGGAGTAGATCCCGGGCTCCTGAGCCACCCTAGGCTATTGAAGCTCATTCCCAGGTGAATTTTCTGCAACCTTTTCTCAGCTTCCCAGCCACCTCTTCGCTGGCATGCCCAGCCCCTGGGGCTTTGGGACCAAGTTTTTCTACTCTGGTGTTGCCTCTGCTGATTCTTGACACAGTTAACCTCTCTGCATTTCCCCTTTCCTAATGGTAAGATAAAGATTCCCTGATACTGTGGCTGGAAATGTGCCCAGTATAAAGGTTAGCTTTGGGTTGGAATCCAAGATGAGGGGGGAAATTTCAAGGGAATAGGGTGACCCAGCATGCTAACTGCAGGGGCAAGAACCAACATTTACTGAGTTTACACTTTGTGCAGGGCGCTGTGAGTAGGTAGTATTTACACCTTACAGATGGAGAAACTGAGGCTTACTGTCCATGATCATGTAGCTAAACAGGGTCAAAACTGAGATTCAAACTTTGTTCTGGCTGCTGAAAGTCCCCAATCCTTTTTCCTTGCTATTCTGCCTCTCTGCCCTTCAGGCATCACTGTCAGGGACAGGGAAGGACAGGAGGACCAGGAAACTGGTCTCCTTATTCACTGGCACTCCCTCCCTTGGGAGGAATCCTTATCTGCGGGAGATGCTCCACCCCTCCTCATCATTCCCAACCCACCTTCTCCACTTGCTTATCTAGAAGTCCTTTCCTGGGATGCCATTCCCTGGTGATAAAATAACATACAATAGGAGGTAGTGGGAGAGGTGAGGGGAGGGGCTGGATGAGGGGAGGCCAGCGGGAGAATAAGGAGGGAATACCCATCCATCAGCCCTGGCGGCTCTTTACACAGCTGAGTAACTGGGGAGGCAAGGGCCCGCTTGCAGGCAGAGAGAGAGACTGGAGGAAAGGGAGCCAAAGGGAGCCGAACAGGAATGAGGTGGAGAGGAGGAGAGAGCCGGGTTTGTCACACTGAAAGCACAGTTGGGAGACTCTTTAAGAGACTGGAGACCAAGGGGCCAGATGGACTAGCCAGAGAGGAGATCATGGATCTGAGAAGCTGAAGAGACTGTCTGGGGCCACCCAGCTGGTGGAGGGACAGGCTCTGCTCTCCTCCCTAGACAATTCACTGGGAAGGCCCAGGGAGGGCTGTGCTGTGTCTGAGACATGCAAGCCAAAGACCTGGAAGAGCAGGGAGCAGCCTGCTCTTTGGAAGCCCAGGGTAACTGGCAAAGCAATATCCACATCCAGCCCCTTTAGGGACTTCAGTGCTGACCAATCTAAAAGAGGGCCCAGCAGCCCACCCTGGTGTCCAGACCCAGACTGTCAGTGGGAGCATCACCCCCCTAAGGCCCATAGCAGCAGAGGCAACCAGAAGTCTGGAGGGAATCTCTGGACCAGAGTCACTATGGGAAGGGTGGGAAGGTTCCCTGCCCTCTTCCTGGCAGATTCTCCCACCTCTGTGGAGCATTTCTTTCATAGTTGAAAGACTTTACACCCCCAACTTTCCTTCCTTCAAACTCAGGGAGTTCCCAGGACCTCATTGTCTGTACCTCAGGGCTGACCCATCAGCACCTGGTCAATACCTTCCAACTGGGGCAATTCCTGGCCCCAGTGGGGCAAAGTCTGAGGGCCCAAATGCAGCTGTGGTCACACATGATCCCAAGACAGTGGACCTGTTGCCAGGGCTGGTGATAAAAAGCATATGGGGAGAGTGGGTAGGAAGGAGGGGCCCAGTTGCCAGGACCTGTACCTCCTTCCTTCAGCCCCCACCCCCATCCCCTCTCTCCTTTTGCTACCACTTCCTATGCACTGCTCCAGCCACGCTCACCTGCCCTCTGGCTACAGTATCTTGAGGACCGGTAGCTGCCTTAGGCCAGGGAAGTTCATTCAGCAGACAGGATCCAATTAGCCCTAACCTCTGATCCCAGTCTCTGATTTCTTTTGACCCCATGGTGGGCTATCATTGCAGCCCAAAACCTGGGAACAAACTAAAGGGAACCAAAACTGCAAAATAAAAGGGACAGCAAAATTTACCAAAATAAAAAAGTTTTCCGACGCTGACCAAAACTGAGCCACACAGTATTTCTGGGAGGCAAGTGGCAGTGCTGGCTGGGAGAATGCCCTGCAAGTGGCGCTCTCCTTTGGATGGAGGGATGGTGAACAAGATGGGCATGGAGCCAATGACCCACCCCCAGCTGCCAAGTCAATACAAAGCCACAAATGTCTTCTTTGTCCTCAGCAACCACCAATGGGCCAACAAGCCACTGACTTCCCTGGGTGCATTTGCCAAAATGTGTTAGTAACTATGCTGGTGCCTCTCAAGGAGGCAATAAATTTTTTTTTTTTTTTTTAAAGAGAGAGAGGGAGAGAGAGAGAGAGAGAGAGAGAGAGAGAGAGAGAATTTTTTTAATATTTATTTTTTAGTTCTGGGCGGACACAACATCTTTGTTTGTATGTGGTGCTGAGGATCGAACCTGGGCCGCACGCATGCCAGGCGAGCGCGCTACCGCTTGAGCCACATCCCCAGCCCGGAGGCAATAATTTGTATTTCTAAGGTCCTCCATGGTGGGTGACATGCCTACCGCCACCAGAAATTTGCGGGGCCTGCATTCCTCCTGAGCCCTGCCACCTGGAAACTCTTCATCTCCTTTGGACTCATCTCAGGTTTACATCCTTTTTCAGGCTCATTCGGGTCCCAGTCCCAACACCTCTTTTTCCTTGTCTCTTAGCAAGTGATTTCAGCTTCTAAACCAGTCCATCAGTAACCAGGTCCTCATGAGACCTGGCACCTACTGTCCCACCACAAGCACTGAGCTGATGTCTGCTGTGACAGTGTCCTTGCCTCAGCCTTTGTTTTGTTTGACCTGCTACAGGATCTGATCCTACCTCTTCCTCACACCTCACACTTGAATTTGGGGCCTCCTGGAGGTCTCTAGCATTCCTTCACATTTCTGAAAATCAGACGTTAGCCCTCTGATCATTTCTCCTTGCCCCAGTTCTCTCAGTGAGCTGATCAAGATGCGAAACCTTAAGCAAATGTTCAAGCACCACTATGTGCTCAACACTGCTCTAAGCTGGGCACGATGGGGCAGGCCTGTGATCCTAGCAGCTTGGGAGGCTGAGCCAGGATTGCGGGTTCAAAGATAGCCTTAGCAAAAGCGAGGTGCCAAGCAACTCCGTGAGACCCTGTTTCTAAATAAAACACAAAAAAGGGCTGGGGATGTGCCTCAGTGGTTGAGTGTCCCTGAGTTCAATCCTCAGGACCAAAACAAACACACAAACCATAAATACTCCTCTAGTTGCTGGGGACACACTAGTGAGCAAAGTCCCTGTTCTCCTGGCACTTATATATAAATGCCATATATTTATCTCTGGCACACCAGGCTCCAACTCCCAGCAGCTGAGAAATATCACATTTAAACAGAATCCATCAGAACTGTGAGCTTAAATAAACTTTCTTTATGAAGCTACCCAGCCTTAGGTACTTTGTAACGGTAATGAAAAATAGACTAGGACGCATCTCAGCCTCAAGGTCTCATAACATGAGTCATTTCTTCCCCCTTAGTATTTTGTGACATCATTCCTGTCTTAACCCTGACCCTCTTCACCTACCATTTGCATTTACTGCAACCAATTCCTGATCACCCTCCCTGATGGTGGAATGGCTCCCCGCCTCCACCTCTCAGGTGTTGCTGCCAGTCTTCCTTGAGCACTCATTTCACTCTGGCCCTCATTCCTTGCTCTACCAGACAGTGTCTCCCCACAGTGCCTAGGATATTGTTCCAAAATTAGACATCTATCAGTTTTATACTGGGAACTTCCATTTCTACCTTTTCAAATTAAAACACTAAGGTGCACCCAGTTGTCCACATTTACAGTTAGTGATCAGTCAGGAATCAGACATGGGTGGACCAACTATTTTGAAATTTATTCCATCCTAAGGATTGCAGAGTTGGAGAGAGGATGACTTTGCAGTGGTAACAAGTAAACATTAGTTTGGAACTTTATTCAGGAGGGTGGGGGCAGATTTACAGGGTTCATGCAAGTGTCATATTAATATTAAGATGCTTAAATAGTGCTTGACACATAATTAGAACTGTTAACTGTTTTCAAAAAATTAAATAGGTCAAATCTCTTCAGTATTGAGCATCTTGGGAGGAAAGGCGAACAGGAAACTAAAGCCTATGGTTAATGACAATCACATGGAACACGTGGGGCTGGTTTTCAGTGGATGTGGAACAAGCTCAGACATGAGAATTTTGTTTTATTATTAAAGGCCTGTTTTTGTTCTTTTGCTGATATCTTCTTTCTCTCTCTTTCCCAATGTATTAAGACCTGACTTCTGGTTGTAGGGGAAAGTTTATTCAACTTAGAGCTGTGTTATGATTAGGGAAGCCAAAGAAAGGAGCAGGGCAGGAACACCTCCCACCACTTAGCCACTGAGGAGAATGAACATGCCGCCTGGCAGCAGACAAGGCTTCCACTTGGGGACAAGGATCCCAGGTCTGCAGAAATCTGTGACAGACTGGGAAAATATTCTGACTTGTGAGAATAGTTTAAGCAGGAGATCGAAGGTCTGGAAAGAAGAGTTCTATAAATGATACTATTTACTAACTCAAGTCCCCCAGTTACCCAAGGAACTGGCCGAACAGGATTCAGTGACTGGAATGGGTTCACGTTAGCGGAACTGGAGATCCCAGCTCTCTAGAGGATGCAGCATCACATCTAGCCCTACCCTTCTTCAAACATCAGCCAGATTATGAATTCTTTATCTGTTGGAATCAACACTCAAACCTCATAGGTCTGCTGTTAGACTCTCAGAGCTTACAAATATCACACAGCAGGAATCCTCTGCTGCACGTGGTCCATCTCCTCACTGTATGGCAAACTGTGTTGTACATATAGTTCTTGCTCCTTTGTCGTTTTGTTCACTCATCAGAATCCCTTCCTCCTCAGAATCAGTTCCACCCCCGACTCCAATGGGCCTTTGACTGCTATCCATACTGATCCCTGCATACTTCTGTTTGGATGGCATTAAAGTCAGAAACCTTTTCCTTTTCAATAGAAAGGTGGGTTTCAAGTCAAGCAGTCTGGTGGCCAGTGGTCTGAGAAGCTATCCACCAATTTCTCTGAGCCCATCTCCACATCTGAAAAATAGCTGGAAGGCTGGTATGAGATTAAATGAGACTATGTGTGAAGTTCCTGCTTATACCAAGGTTTCAAAAAATGGGGCCCTTCCCTTTTCCTATCTCTGTAACATGCTAATAGCTCTGGGTGAAGTAGGCTCTTCCTGTAGAGCCTGGGAAGAGTTTGGACCACCATGTGCCAAGGTGAAGCAGGTTAACCTATAGATTCATGGAGTGCCTCAATAAGAGGCTAAAAATTGAAGGTGAGAACTGTTTACCTTGTATTCCCACTGTGCATGGTGCCTTGGGCCCAGAGTGTGCCAAGTTAAAGTCTGTTGAAACAAGAAATGAGACTCCTCTAATGCTACTAAACTGCATGGGATGTAATGGCTGTTCTACACAAGACTTCACCTGTAGATACAAGGGCTACTTCACCCCCATGCCCTACCCCAGGGTCTCCAGCCAAATGTTCCTCAGGCCTCCAAGGCTCTGCCCTTCTAGCCAACATCAGACAGAGGCTCCCAGGGATGGAAGGAGGGGCGCTCCTAACAGTGAGAGAACTCCAGGGTGAGGTTTTGAGGATGAAATGGGTGCCTTACCCACTGAAGGAGAGGACTGGTCAAAAACAGGAGGGAAAAGTAAGGGCCTGAAAGATAATGAACCGCATCGGTCCAGCCCCAATGCACAGCCTTACTTTTATGGTGAGCTGTATTCACCCAACATCCAGGAAGATGGCACTGCTGTTTGTCAGGACTTGTGGGTCTCTCATCCTACCACACAGAGAATGTGGCTTTAGCAGAGAATGCTAAAGCCTGTGATAACTCATGAAGAAGCAGGAACTGAAGCAGCTTGGCTATTTATTAGTCAGTAGAAAAGTAACTGTACAGATATGCGGTGCAAGAATGGAGATGTGGCAGACAGGGTCCCGGTATCTGAGGATGCACCCTGTGCCAGAGACCTCCAGTCTAGAGCCTGAAGTTGGTAACCACATGTGTGCATATGTGAATGTGAGCTACGTTTGCTAAGTGTGCTGCCCCCGTGGGGGGCACTGGGATTCTTGCCCAGCAGCTGGGCCTGAAGACAAGAGGCCAAGGAAACTAGGGCCTAGAAACGGCCCAGCACAGTGGCTAACAGAGCCATGCGGATGTACATGCCATTCTCAGCTTGGCGGAAGTAGGCTGCTCGGGGGTCTGAGTCCACCTCCATGCTGCAAGAGAAGGAGAAGAATTACTGTGCAGCTCACAGAAGGCCTGCTCAGGACTAGAGCCCCTCCCACAGCCAACCCCAGGCAGTTTCCAGTTTTGATTCCACATCACCTTATCTCATTGACGCGGGGCATTGGGTGCATCACCACCATCTTCTTCTTGGCCCGAGTCATGATGTGGGGAGTGAGGATGAACTGGCCAAAGCACTGCAAGGCAGACGGGGTCCCTGTTAGCACTTCAGGGCAGTGATGGCTATAGAGGACACAATTTGGGCTCCTCCAGTGTCCCTTCCATACCTACATGCAGCTACATCAACTAAGGGACCTGAGGCTTAATGGCCCTGCACCCAGCCCTCCCAAGCTCCAGCCCTGTTTCTTCCTCAAGCCCGGCACTCACAGCTTCATACTCCTGGGTAGAGCCAAATCGCTCCTTCTGGATCCGAGTCATGTAGAGCACGTCAGTGTCAGGCAGTGCCTCTTCGATGCTCTCAAACTCTTCCTGGAGGGGAAGGCAGAGCCATGGGGAATGCAGAGCTGGGTTTTGACTACTCAACCCAGGTCCCTAAGCTTGCTGGACTGTGAGAGTCTCACCTGCTTGGTGCCACGGGAGGCCACAAAAGCCCACACATTGGATGGCATACGCAGGCTGGGAGGTGCCACGTAGCGCAGGCTGACACGGTATTGAGTGAGCAGGCAGGCCAGGGAATGCACTGTGCGTCCATGTTTCAGGTCACCCACCATGGTGATCTAGAAGAGGAACACCATCACCAGAGGGACCCAGATTGAGGACCACTGCCACCACTTCAAAGCCTATCTCCAGGGTACAGTATAGCCTGGACTAGAGAAACCACTGCTTTTCTCTCCAGAACCTCCCCCTGGCAGGGCTCCAATCCCTGTCACTGTCCTCACCGTCATGCCATTGACCGTCCCTAGCTCTTCCCGGATGGTGAAGATGTCCAGCAGGGCCTGGGTGGGATGCTCTCCAACCCCATCTCCAGCGTTGATCACTGGCCTCCGGCAATGCTTGGCTGCCAGCTGTAAGAATGGAACGAGGAAGGAGAATCCTGCCTTCTGCAACTCAGAGGCCCCTCCCCAATCCAGCCCTCTCTTCCTGGGTCCCCTCACCGATATGGCCCAAATAAGACATGAAACAGAGGCAGAAGGGACCCCATGTCCTTGGGTTCAGCCTAATCAACCCATCTCAGCTGGCCTCACCTCCACTGCTCCAGGCTGGGGGTGCCGAAGCACGACGACATCAGCATAACAACTCATAGTCTGCACGGAGTCAACCAGGGATTCGCCCTTCTGGACGGAGGATGTGGCTTCTGAGAAGCTAAGCATAGAACCCCCGAGTCGGGCCATGGCCGCTGCAAAAGAGCTGCTGGTCCGCGTGCTCACTTCATAGAACATGGAGGCCATGACCTTTCCCTGGGGAAGAGGATGAGGAAGGCATGTGTGCACATTCATCTTGAGGAACAGGACAGAGCTCACCTCTCCAGTTTATATCAAAGAGAATTGAGGGGATCCTTCTTTACACAAACCTCCCCTGTGACCTATCACAGTCTTGACATTTCTACCGCTAGTGTGACTCTGAGCTAAACATTCTGCCTCCAAAACGCATCACTGAGTGTGAATAACTCAGCAGAGGAGGAAAGGCCACAGCTTTCTCCCATGACCACTTGGCACAGATCAGATGACCCCAAGTGTGGTCTGATGCTCTAGTGCTCAGGTCCCCATGTCAACTAACTACCTGCTGAGATCAGGTCTAGAGCAGCAGGCTCTCCCAGAACAGAGGGCCGAGCTGATGACAGTGCAGGGACTGGAGGCACACAAAAGAACCTGATGGCAGGGACAGGAAGACCCCCTCTGACCACTGCATATCCCATCCCCAACGGGGGCTAATGGCAGATAATGGCGGGGACCCTCAGCCCACAACCCTGATCCCAACCTTGAGGATGTCGAGGCTCCGCTCTTTCTGTACCATCATACGCAGTGTGTGCGCCACATTGAACAGATGCGACATCTAAGAAAAACCCCAAGTCAGAGGGAAAGGCGCTGAGCAGCCTCTGGAGGTCCTGGCCCCAAATTTCCAAATCCTCAAAGCTCTGGGTGTCCCTGCCCTCCCTCCCCCAGGCACCTGATCCTTGGTGAACTGCTTGACAGACAGGATATGTTGGCCCACTAATGAGTGCAGCAGGGGTGAGGTCTGGGGGTGCAGCAGGCCAGGGGTCCCCAGGTTCTGGGGTGACGCCTGTCTAGGTACTGGTGGTGGAGGGTAGCAGGTGCCATCAGGGGTTCCCATCAGCTCTGCAGTGAGGGATGGGGCAGAAGAAGCTGGTCAGAGGGTTCCCCCTACCCAGGCCAGAGTGGAGTGTCCCCAAGATAAGTGCGTGCCAAGAGTGGAGTCTTACCTGGCTCAGCTGCTTTCCGAGAGGGCTTTTCCTTTGGCTCCTCAGCTGTAAAGAGGGCAACAGGACAGATGCCAATTTTCAGCTGTGGTCTAGAGAGCACCAATTTTCCCAGGAACTTTGCCTCACAGCACCTGTGTTAAACCACCTCACACGACAGTAGCTACAGCAGGTTAGGGGAGGGTGAGAGGGTGCAGCAGCTCTGGGGTTCTGTTGTATGGGAATAGTGGTGCCCTCCCAGGGCCTTCCCCCTTGGCACAGGGATCTTAGGCAGAGGACGGCCAGGCTCACACCAATCAGCAACCAGGATTTACCCCATACTCTGCTGCCCTGTGGGATCCCAGCTCCCGGGCGCAGGAACACAGCTGCCCATAACAAAAAAAAGGGCTGTGAGAAGCAACTGTGGGAGGTTTACCTCACGGTGTGGTGATTTACTTAGGCAAATGAGGAACTAGGACAAAGGGATGGAGAAAAGGACAGGCAAATGCTGGGAGTAGGGGCCTGAACCAGTTCCTGGGCAACTGAGTCCTGATCTTGGACACAGAATGCAGGAGAAGCCCGTCCCTACACACCTTAGTCAAGAGTGGCCTTTCTCCTGTGCCACAGGAAACCCTCTCTTACCTGGCAGACCAGGGTCGGAGGCTCGGTGGATTCGAGGTGGCAGATGGAAGCGACCATCAGGAAGCCCTGGGATGCCTCGGCGTGGTCTTTCAGGTGTCTGGAGTGGTGACATGGGCTTAGTGTTTTGAAAGGTAATGAATCTAACCACAGTTCACAGTCCCACAGGAAGAGCTGTTCCTTGTGTGTGTGCATTTTTCTCCATGCCATCTCCCCTTGGCCCCATCCTTCTGGTGTTTTGTCAACAGGTGACAAACTGGCTTCTTAGAGGTGTGTGTTAACCCCACAGCAGGGTTCTAGACAGAACCCTGGCTGGATGAGCAGTGGGTTTGTGACACTCACAGGCAGCCTCCTAACAGTCAACTTTGTGTTGCAGGAGGCATTTTAGTGGTCAAGTGTAGAGCCCTTGACTACCAATGAAAATGTTCAAACTGTTGGTCCTACCCTTGGGCACCCCACAAGCCCTAGCCCAGGAGCAGTGTGATACCGTGGTTATCTCACTGGTGGCAGGGGCAGAGGGTGGGGGCTGAGGGACAGCCCCCTGAGGCCACTTCCGTACATCCTGTCCATAGCCTGGGGGCACCAGCACCTGCAGACAGAAGGCCGGGGCGGGGCATGAGAAAGGAACAGAGAGCACCATGACTGGGCTTCTAAAGGTGGACATCAGCAAGCAGCTGATGCAGGGTCAGCTGCAGGGGGCAGTGGAACTGTGCAGATGTGCTGCACAGGGAAGAAAATGAAAACCACAGAGGTCATTACTGAGATCAGGTAGGGGCCATACACGCACCTGCCCATCAATATAAGCAACCTCCCCTCGCAAGACCACACGGCGGATGGTGCCCTTCACTTTCTGCCCTTCAAAGGGTGTCCAGCGGGCCTTGGAGAAGGGCATGTGGCTGGGAATTGTCCACTCATGCTCCAGATCCACCTGCCCAGAGGGTGTGGTTACAAGAAGGAGAGGTCATACCAGAGAACAGACCAAGGGCTAGAGTCCCCCACTCGCTTGGGGCCCTCACCCGCACACCTCCACATAGGTATCCTCCTGTTGGGGCAGGTGGAAGATCCGCCGAGGATTGTGATGCAATCGCTGCAGCAGGTCATCTAGACTGAGGCGGCCCTCGCTCACAGCTGTCAGCAGCAATGGCAGCATGGTCTCTAGCCCAGGGAAGCCAGGTGGAGGCTGGGGCCCACACTTCTCCTCCAACGTGTGGGGGGCTGGAGAAAGAAAGAGGTTACCTTCTGAGGAGGCAGGGAGTCACCTCAATACCTGGGGATTCACACCCCAGGGCTGTACTTCCAGTAGTCTTGTATTACCAACCTCAATGCTTTTTTTTTTTCCCCCCCTGGGAATTGGAGCCCAGGGAAGCGGGAACACTGTCCTCCCACACCTGTGCCCATGTATTCTCTCATTTACAATAGACTCACACTTATTCTCTCGGTCAAGTATTTGTCAAGCACCTATCACGGACCAGGCAGTAAATTAGAGGCTGGGGACCTACACAGATCAAGATCCTGTTTTTATGGAATTCAGAGTCTAGCCCCCTTACATTTTCTTGCTAGGGCTGCCCCATAGCTTGACCTGGGACACAAGTCCTGCTGGGCAAAGGAGGAGTAGGCTGGGTCTTCTCACCGTGATCTGAAGCAAAGCAGTCAATGACAGCCATGTTCTCCCACAGGGCCTCCACGTCCTGGCGACAGCCAAGCTCAGGCCGGACTTCTCCCTTCCCAGGCCCCAGACGTTCTAAGTCATCACGGCTCAGGAACAGGTGGTGGGGTGCTACCTCACAGGTCACTGGCAGTCCTTGTGCCTTTGCGGCTTTAATCAGCAGGATCTAGAGAGAGAGGAGATCCGGAGGAGGTCCCCCATGTTTGTCCTTCGAAGTTCTCATGGCCGGCAACTCTCCTCAGAGTATTATGGGCCAACTGTGCCCAGGGTGCTAGATCAAGGCCCTCCTCCCATCCTTTCCTGCCCCACAAGGACTACCCTGACCTTTAGAGTTACTGGGAAAAAAACAGGGAACCAGGACCTCAGGTGCACTCTCACCTCCTCCTTCCGTGCCACGTGACATATGTGCACTGGGCGCTGGGTCAGCTGAGCCACCATGAGGATGGCAGCGACACTCTGCCGCTCTGCATGAGCCACAATGGGAAGGTGGGATGGCCAGGTCTCGAAGTGCTGAGGGCAGAAAGAACTGATGAGGGAGAGTGCAAAGCCTTTGATTCTTTGCTCAGAGCCCAGCACTTTTGGGGTCCTCAAGCCAAGGGATACCATTTGGTGGTCTTCTGCCACACGTGTACTCCCTACCTCCATCCACTGCGCCACACTGTCCAGCCGCAGCTCAGAGAAGGTCTCATTGAGGTAGAGCTTCAGCCCTGCTGCAGACCCTGCCACAGTACTCAGGGTCCCTGCATTTTCAGATGAGGCTCCGAGGAAAAGGGCAAAATCACAGCGGGCACCAGCTTCTGCCAGCTGCAGGGGATTCACATGAGAAGAAAGCTGCTGACACCCATGCCCACAGGCCAGCCTAGCATCACACCTGGCCCCACAGGGAAAGAAGAGGGCAAAGGGCTCAAGGAAGCAGGGGTGTAGTGGCTCACCTTCTGGGCCAGGGCCAGAGCAGGGGCATCAACAATGGGGGGCCGGGTATTAGGCATGGCACACACCATGGTGACACCACCAGCCAGGGCAGCAGCTGTGCCAGAGGCAAAATCCTCCTTGTGTGTCCCACCTGGTTCCCGCAGGTGCACATGAACATCAATAAGTCCTGGGAAAACACGGGGACAGCAATATTAGAGGGAGATTCAGAAATAGGAAGGACATAAATGAGTTGGCAAAGTGGGAAAATTAAAAGCAAATGATACAAGTTCCTCAGTCCAGGGCATCCTGGATTAAGGAAGGAAGGGCTCAGAGTGAGACAGATTCTGAGGCCTTCACTGTCTATACAGTCCAGGGCAGAGTGGACCCATAGCCACCTTTAGACCCCAAGGGGCTCTGTGCCAGCTACAAGTGTCCCAAGAGATGTACTTACCAGGTAATCGCACAAGCTTCTGGGAGGTCATACAATCAACGTGCACTTTTAAAGGTGGGGCTGGCCCAATCTGGCCTAGGGCCTGCAAGTGGGGAGCATGGTTAACATTGATTTAATGGAAGGGGGACCCAAGGGTAGTGGGTAGGGACCAGGCTTTCCTAAAACCAAGGCTCCTCCCTCTGTAGCCACAAAGCATTCTCAGAGCAATGCTGTTTCACACTGACCTTTTCCAATACTGAGGATGTGCTCACTATTCCCTCCCTACATCATGCAAAGGAGAAGCAGGTTCCCTCCCAGCACCCCATTTCAGCTACCTCTACAAAGAGTTTGGTGCATTTGATGTCGATGATGAGGGGCACAGAGAAGTCAGCAGCCAGGCGCCGGGTACGGTAGCCCTTGGTAACGAAAGAAGAGAGACGCCGGCCCCCAGCCCCACGCATGGACAGATTAATCACTAGTTCAAAATGATTCTCAGCCAGCTGCTCCAGGATGCTCCGCTGTGGTGGGCACTCACCATCCACAGCCTCTTCAAAGTGCCAGTCCACAGCTGTCACCTGCAGGCCCAGAGTTAAGGTCAGGGCCAACCTGAACATGGCAGGGGTCAGGAAGGCCAGCCTAAAACTAGGGGAGCTGACCTAGGAGTTCATAATGAGGAAATTAAGGACCCCCAGTGGGGAACAGGGCTACCGCTATTTGCTATCTGCAAGGTATCTTTCTTGACAGGAAAGGTATGTGGAATGAGACAGGTTACCAAGGACCATAAACAATATGAGCTCGTGGGCACATACACAGGCAAGCCTTGGAAAGAAAATATGCCAGAATATTAACAGTGCAAAAAACTACAAAGGACTTTTTTCTTTTTGTTTTCCTGTATACCCTACTTGTTATACATGAAACACGTTAATAACATGTCATGATCACAGAAGCAGAGGAAGAGAGAGAGGCAAGCCTGGGGCCACAGGAGGGAAGTATGGGGTGGTGGCAGGAGTTGTACCTTGACACCATGCTCTGTGTAGAAGTCAGCTGTACCCAGGCTGGCATAGAGGCTGTAGCCCAGGCTCTCAAGCAGACGCACAGTTGGGAGCAGCTCACTTTTGTTCTGAAATCAAGCAGAGGCATGAAGTGGGAATGTCTCTCTGTCTTCCATTTCCAACTCCTGGGATGACCCTCTGTAATTCTGGTACCTTATAGCTGCCGATGGTCAGCAGAATATTCTTCTTGGGGATCTTAAAGCCAGTGCTTAGCATAGCCTTGAGGTAGGCCTCACAACGGCTCTCCCCGAAGCCAGCCACCTCCCCAGTACTGGTCATCTCCACGCCCAACACCACGTCAGCACCAGCCAAGCGGGAGAAGGAGAACTGAGGTACCTGAGAGAGCAGGATGAAAGAGAGGGCTGGGTTGTCTCTTGGAGAGGGACAAACATAGTCCTTGCTCCTTATCGTACCTGCAGTGATGCTGGCCTTCCCTGATGCTATGCTCCACACGCCCTAAAGCTTCTCTAACTGTTCCTGCTCCATCTGTTCAATGATCATGGGATATTTTCCCAAAAAACTCTGAAAGTCAAAAATCCTCACAATCCTTGAGACTCAGTTCAAATGCCACCCCTTCTTCTAAGCCTTCCCAGGTCAGCCCTCTTGGAAGTTGCTTCTTCTGTATCTAACCATCTTGCACATTTGGTTTATACCTTGATAATGTGAGTTTATCTGACTGTCCCATGATAAAGCTATTTTTGGACCCAACTTCCTTTACCTCCCATTCCTGGAGAGTAAGCTCCAAAGGGACAAAAACCATCTATGACCCCACAATCTGGCAATGCCTAAGTAGGTGGCAGTTCATCTGCTGATTGAGCTCTCTGCTCAAGGGTTTCAATCCTCCTTACCTTTACTCCCACGACTCCAGAGCCAGTCATGAGCCCTACAGGTTCCACCTTTTCCCCCATGATGACCCGTGTGGCCAAGGCCACTAGGTCAACACCTAGTGTCTTGGAGACGAAGGGGAAGGATCGTGAGACTCGCACGTTGCATTCAATAACTTTTAGCTGGTCATCCTGGGGCAGAGAAACACTGGTCAGGCCTGCATAGGCTGGGCATTCTGAAGCTACTGTATGAACTTTGACTCTTCCCCTCTTCTTTCTGTGAGTAATGAACCTGAATAACTATCACTAACCCTGATAACACTGAGCTCTTCTCTGCAGTTCTCCTGTCTACTTGGGTGAGGACAGACGCACCACAGGACGGTACAGAACACAGAGGAGCTGCAGAGCCCTTTAATCCCTTCCTTTTGCCTTATTACCTTGGCAATGAGCTGAAGATTAAAGGGTCCTGTGACTTGCAGCTCCTGGCCTACTGCATGCACAATGGCTTTGATCCGCTCCAGAGTTTTGGTGGTGATGTCTTGTGGTGGGGTAACCAGTGTGGCATCTCCTGAATGCACACCTGCATTCTCCACATGCTCAGAGATGGCAATGGCTTCCACCACACCATCACAGGCCACAGCATCCACGTCAATCTCCTAGTGGGGGACATAGGCAGTGTGATGTAGGGCAAGAGCCATCCTAGGACTTGCCCTTTCCCTAGGATGCTCCCTCCACTCTTTTTTCCCCCCCAGTATCAGGGATTGAACCCAGGGACCCCTGAGCCACATCCCCATCCCTTTGTTATATTTATTTTGAGACAGGGCCTTGCTAAATTGCTTAGGGCTTCACTAAGTTGCCGAGGCTGGCTTTGAACTTACAATCCTCCTGTCTTAGCTTCCCAAGCTACTGGGATTTCAGGTGTGCTCCTGTGCCCGGCGATGCTCCCTTTCTTTAACAGGACCAAGATGTGACCCATCCTTCCCAACCCATTGTTTCTATGACTCTGCAGGACCAGAGGGAAGTCTCCTTAGGGCCCTGAGCCTGCCCCCAGATTTCTTTGCAGCTTCTCACCTTGGCTTCCTGGATGAACTTAGAGATGACTACAGGGTGTTCCTTAGAGACAGCTGCTGCGCTGCTCAGGAAGCGCTCCAGGTCCCCATCAGTGTAGGCTACATTCATAGCAGCACCACTCAGAACATAGGAGGGGCGCACCACACAGGGGTACCCCACGGTCTGGCAGAACTGGCGAGCAGACTAAGAGGGACAGGGAGTTTAGCAGGGTTGGTCACATTCACCTACAAACACCATCCAGCCTATAGGCCCCTTTACCCCGGCCTACCTCTAGGTCACTGAGCTCCCTCCACTGAGGCTGGCTGATACCAATAGTGTCTAGGAGCCGGGAGAACTTAAATCGGTTCTCTGCTGAGTCGATGGCTTCAGGGGAGGTGCCTAGCACCCGGCACTGCTGCCGATGCAAAGCCATGGCCATGTTGTTGGGCAGCTGCCCACCCATGGACAGTATCACACCTTCTGGGTTCTCTAGCTCATAGATGTCCATCACCACCTATAGACAGTGGCCACAAAGAAGGTCAGGAAGCCGAGCCTTCTTGCTCACAGCTCCCTTCACTCCCAATAAGTGCCACAGAATACTGGGTCAGTCAGTCATTCTTTCTTGACCCTGGCCACCCAGGTATAGGGCAGCCCTCATTCCCCTTACCTCGAAAGAAATCTCATCAAAGTAGAGTCGGTCGCACATGTCATAGTCGGTGCTGACTGTCTCTGGATTGTAGTTCACCATGATGGTCTTATACCCCATCTGCCACAGGGTGGGGAATGCACTTAGCAATTAGGAGGCAGGAAGAGCATGGAGAAACTAAGCCAAAGCCCCCACTGGAGAGTGCCAGCCAGCTCAGCTTCCTGTGAAACAGTTGTACAGCACAGCTGCATTGGGGGGAAGCAGGCAAAGAGTTGGGGAAGGGACTCAAGTACTAGATGGACTAAGCAAGGCCCCAACCCAAAGCTCTCTGACAGAAGAAAGGTATAGCAAATAATAGGAAGAGTCAGGATTAGGTGAGGGATGACAGGCAACCACCCAAACTGAGCAGACAGCAGAGAAACTATTAAGCAACACAAAATCTCAGACCTTTCGGAGCTGCTGGATGCAACCTACAGCACACCAGTCAAACTCAACGCTGGAGCCGATACGGTAGACGCCAGAGCCCAGGACCAGGACATGAGGTGTTCGAAAGGTGAGGTCATGGGTTTTACCCCAGTATGTCAGGTACAGGTAATTTGTTTGAGCTGGCCATTCGGCTGCAACTGTGTCAATCTGTTTCACTGCTGGGCAGATCCCTAGTTCTTGACGCAGCTTGCGAACAGCCAACTCTGTGCTGAAGGAGAAGGGTGGGTAACTCAGTCCCTGGGAGTAGGATACAGACTGACAGAGAGGTAAGTTCCTAGGGCAGGGATCAAAGAGGAAAATATCCCAGGGAAAAAGGCCAGAGCCTCCAAAGCTCCCCAAGGGCCCTTCCTGATACAAAGGCTCTGCCCACACTTCTCAGCCCAAGCCCCTCACCACAATCTCTGACCTCAGGACGGCAAGGGCAATCTGTTTGTCGGAGAAGCCAAGGCACTTGGCCTGGTGTAGCAGGTCTGGAGGCAAAGGCTGTCCACGGTGTTGTTCCAACAGCTGGGCATGGGTGACAATCCTCTTCATTCGGTGCAGAAACCAGCGGTCAATGCGTGTGAGCTCATACAGGCGCTCCACTGAGTAACCAGCCCATAGAGCAGCAGCCACCACAAAGATCCGCTTATCTGTTGGTGTCTCCAATTCCTGATGGGGAGAATACAGATAGATATGGAACTGTGCAGAAGCAGGAGAGATCAGAATGCCAACCAAAAATATTCCCAATCAATCAGACGTGGTGGTGCATACCAGTTTCTCAGGAGGGTAAGGGGGAGAATCATTTGAGCCCCAAAGTTTGAGACCAGCCTAGGTAATACAGCGAGACCTTATCTCAATCAATTAATCAAAAACAAATTCCCAACCTACTCATGTCAGCACCTCTGAAAGCCTGAGTGCTTGAGTTGGTGTTAGGAAAAAGAAGCTGAACACCATGGCATAGGCTCGGAATCTGCAAAATCCTGGATACAAATCCTGGCTCTGCCTCTCACTGCCATGAGCAATTTTTATAACCTCACCTGTAAAAACAAGTCTAATAATACATTCTCCCATAACAAGCAGAGTCCATGTTAGGGTGTTGCTGAGGAGGTAAGCTGCTTACCACATCGCTGACTGGCTTCACTGTGTGATCAAAGCCCACACAGTTCTCATCCACCATGCGCAGGGCCTTCTGGAAGGCCTCCTCAAATGAACGTCCAATGCCCATAACTTCACCTGGAGGAACAAGATGAAAAAACTGAGGGCTTAGGGGCAGGACACTACCCAGCATACTTATGGTTTAGTCAAACCTCTGGGAGGCTCTCAAGGTAAGCCCCAGGGTAGTGGGATTCATGATATTTCACTATTAAGAAACCTCAAAACTTTAAGCTTTTCTCCCTGCCATTTTCATGGATAAGCTTTGTGCTTATGAGTAAATATGGAATTGATATGCCTAAAATGGACATGTTATAGTTTATCCCACTGGCCTGAACTACTGATGACTGCCCAGTTATTCGGCTTGTTTTATTTATACTGTAATGACACCATCTGGAATCTGCCTCAACCTTTAGACCTTTAAAAGGTTTGGGTAACAGGAAGATGACATCATTACTATTTGAATCCCTCTAGAGACAGTTATATTTTAAAAAGTATTCTAGAGTTTTTCCTCCTGAACTTTTTTCATATGTATATTTTATACACGATTATAGTACATACATAATGCCCACCCTTTTTTTTTCATAAATATTTTCCCACATAGCTGTGTGACTTCACAGACACCTAACTTCTGTGTGATTTGCCATAATTTAACTGCCAACTTACTGATGGACATTTAGCTTTTAAGTGCTGATTGTTACAAATGAGGCTGTGATGTTTTGGATTAGCTTCTTTTAATAAATTTCGAGAGGTGCAAGGGTAAGGGGTAAAGGCCCTTGGTAAATACTTATAAAAGTTTGTACTTTACAATAGAGTTTAACCAACCTTCTGAAAAGTGGACATAATTATTTTAGTTGGTTTTTGGTCATTAAATAAAAAAGAATATCTCTTTTGAACTAGATTTCTATTAACTAGTGAAAGGAAACTTTTTCTCCCCAGGTCTGCTTATGATTTCCTCTTCTATAAAGTTCTGTTCATGCCCTCTTACCATTTTTTTCTTTCTTTTCTTTTCACTATTGAGGACTGAGCTCAGGGGTGATCTATCACTGAGCTACATCCTAGCCCTTTTTATTTTTTGAGACAGGATCTTGCTAAATTGCCAAAATTGGTCTCAAACTGGGTTCCTCCTGCCTCAGCCTTTCAAGCCACTGGGATTACAGGCATGTGCAATTGCACCTGGTTTACAATCCTTATATTTAGGTTTCTTAAAAAGTTTGCCAGTTGCAGTGGCACACACCTGTAATTCCAGTGGCTTGGGAAGCTGAGGCAGGAGGATTTTGAGTTCAAAGCCAACCTCAGCAAAAGTGAAGTGCTAAGCAACTTGGTAAGACCCTAACTCTAAATAAAATATAAAAGGGGGTTGGGACGTGGCTCAGTGGGCAAGTGCCCCTGCGTTTGATCCCTGGTACCACCTCTCCACAAAGTTTTAAAACACTAAGATGCTGATAGTGGTGCAAATGAAGTAGAATTTCTTTTCTTTTTTTGGTAATGGGGATTGAACCCAGGAGCACTTAACTACTGAGTCATATCCTTAGCCCTTTTTAATATTTTATTTTGAGATAGGGTCTCACTGAGTTGACTGAGTTGCTTAGGGCCTCACTAAATTGCTGAGGCTGGCTTTGAACTTGTGATCTTCTTCTCAGTCTCCAAGCTGATAGGATTATAGGCATGTGGAATAAGATTTTAATTCCTTTATACTGTGGTTATAGAACCTTTTATTTTGGAATTTGTTAAATTTCGCACATTCATACAGGAATACCTACAAAATTTCTGAAATTATATAACTTGGAGACAGACACACACACATATACATAAAATATATAAAATATGCATACATATATATAAAATATGCATACATATATATAAAATGTGGATGTGTATATATATCTAGATTAATCCAACTATGACAAGATCACAGATGATTTTTTTTTTTCTGGCTAAATAATCTTTCATTTTTCAAGGATTCATGTATCTTACTTGTACAATAAATCCTATAAAAAGTTACCAAAGAATACATTCTAAGAATACTTGAATAGATGTAAAACACTTATTATATATTTCAGCTAGGAATCATTCTTCAATTGTCCTATTTTCAATTTACTTCTCTTAGCCATAATTTAATTATGGCTTCATTCCCATGTTTATTATAATTTAACAGAAACTCATCTCCAGAAGGAAAAACTTGGCAGTCTTGTAGGATTTCCAAAAATTCTGAAATAATATCTGAGCCCAGACTTGTTTAAAGGCCACTAGTGCTCTAAATGGAAGTCTGGAGCACAACGAAATGCTCTTATTTACTGAGCTGGTGACACTTGGTCTCATACATACATACTCTTGTCTTGGTTGAAATGTTTTAGAGAACAGTTTAAGGCAACTAAACTCCACTACTGGGTGGTGAATGACTGTTACACCCATTCATACTCATTGATAAAGCTCCCTATTATAATTAAGATCTCTCATGGCTCTAATCTTTTTTTTTTTAAAACATATCTTTATTTACTTATTTGTTTTTTTACGTGGTGCTTTAGGATCGAACCCATTGCCTCGCACGTGCAAGTCAGGTGCTCTACCACTGAGCTACAGCCCCAGCCCCTTGCTCTAATCTTAACATTATTTTAAAAAACATTTCATTTAGTGACTGAGGCACAGAGTGTCAGGGTAGGAGATAGGCTAAGAATACCTGCAACTGGGCTGACTCAGATTTAGAAAGGTTCACAAGAAAACAGCAGTAATTGTTCTCCTGAAATTTAAGTATTTAAACTAACAGTGAATAAAATGCCACTGGCATTAACAACCTAGTGATGAGGCCATGGGTAAAATGCCATGAGGATGAAATGCTGTCCATGGTTTCATGAACTGGTCTCCCAGGTGACAGGTGATGCAGTGAACACAGGGCATGCAACTAGGAAGCCGATCTAGTTTTCACTCTTGGTTCTACCCACTACTCCTTTGTGGGTCCTCAGCCAAGTCACTTTACTCCCAGGGGCACCTCAGTTTCCTCATTTGTTAAATAAGAGAGATGGGACAATCTGCCGCTTGTACCCTGGCCGAGTCTGCCTTCCAACACATTTCCAGGTGACTTTGACCCTGCTCCTGATGAAGACTATCTTAGTTTGAAGTGTCCCTATGAGCTCTCAGAAACCACATTTCTAAGTTGCTGCTAAAAAAGGCACCAGGGAATTTTTAGGCCAGGCTAGGGAACATTTGGTCCTAGTGGACCTTATGGGGGTGACCAGGGTATGACTCTCACCAACGCTCTTCATGCAGCTCCCAATCTTTGTGCTGACACGCAAGAACTTGCTGAGGTCCCAGCGAGGAATCTTTACCACACAGTAGTCCAGACTGGGTTCAAAGGCTGCTGTTCCCCCTGTAACAGAGTTCCTGGGGACCAGCAAGTAGGGTTGCCAGACAGACAGAGAAAAGTATACAGGACAGGGTGAGCTTCCAGATAGCTCTGACCCACACATCTAGACCAATATCCTTTTCATAGTCCTTGCCCCATGAATATTTTCTTCAGCTCCCCTGACCCATTTTTGGTAACAGGGATTGATCCCAGAGGTGCTTTTACCATTGACCCACAAGTCCAGCCCTTTCTAAAAAAATATTTTATTTAGAGACGGGTCTCACTGAATTGCTCAGGGCCTTGTTAAGTTGCTAAGGCTGGCTTTGAACTTGTAATCCTCCTGCATCAGCCTCCCAAGCCACTGGATTACAGGCGTGTACCACTGTGCCCAGCCTCCCTGTCCCCTCTTAACACTAAGATTCCCCCTACCTCATACCTGAGTTCAGGCAGGGGGATGCCCAAAGCTAGCTTGGCTGCCACATAGGCTAGTGGATAGCCTGTGGCCTTACTGGCCAGAGCAGAGCTGCGAGATAGCCTGGCATTCACTTCAATGATGTAATACTGCAATGAGGGAGAACAGAGAAAAAGTTACTGGGTACCCAGCCTGGAAATCCCTGCCTAGAAGAGATCTCAGAAAGGAGAGAGAATAGCTTTTTCATAAGGACAGAGAACAAAAGGCCCTCCCTAAGGCTCAACCTACTAAAGTTGATCCAGGCTCTCAGGATCTACAGGGCCAGAAAACCTCTTAACTGTGAGGCCCAAAGATTACAGAAAGAAGAAGAGATAACAGATACAATGTCAGTTCCAGGGCCTCAGCCTCACCTGTTCAGACTCTGGATTCAAGGCATACTGTACATTGCACTCTCCAACAATCCCCAGGTGCTGGGTCACCTTGATAGCTGTCCGTCGCAGGAGCTGGTACTCTCTGTCATTCAGTGTCTGGCTAGGAGCCACCACTATGGACTCACCAGTGTGGATGCCCAATGGGTCTAAGTTCTCCATATTACATACCTGGGAAGGGGAATGCCACAAATGTCACTGTCCAAGGGAATCAGGAGATAGGAGGCTACATCTCTGGGGCTATGCCTAACCTGGATCTGAGGAACACAGACCTCTCAGAGATCTCAGCCCTGGTCTCTGCTCTTCCAAAAGCTCAGACTGCCTGAGCCAACCCTCCCTCCCCAATCACTCACCGTCACACAGTTGCCATAGGCGTCTCTCACCACCTCATACTCAATCTCCTTCCATCCCTTCAGGGACTTGTCTACCAGCACCTGGCTTGTATGGGCAAAAGCAGGAGCCACAAGAGCTGAGAGCTCCTCCTTGGTGGAGGCAAAGCCGGAGCCTAGACCCCCCAGGGCAAAGGCTGCACGCACCAGCACAGGGTAGCCCAGTCGCTCAGCGGCTGCTTGTGCCTGCAATGAATGGAAGAGATTCATTCATAGGTTATTTTCTGCTTCCCACAGGTTGCCCAGAGCCAGAGAAAATAAGACATAAAGAAAATTACACTACTCTACTACCCAACCAGCTCTCGAACCTGTTCAAGAGAATTTGCTGCCTCGCTGGGGGCCACATGCTCTCCAATCTCTGCCATCCTGGCTGCAAAGGCACGTCGATCCTCAGTCAGCTCAATGGTCTCCACGGGTGTGCCCAGGACCCGGACCCCATATCGAGCTAATACTCCAGCCTTTGTCAGTTCCACACCACAATTCAGGGCTGTCTGGCCCCCAAAAGTCAGCAACACACCATCTGGCCGTTCATTACGTATCACCTGAGGCAAGAAAGAGGAGTCATAGGCCTTTAGACCTTAGGGGTAGAGAGTGACTCAAAGCAGCTTAGGAACCCAGAGTGACCATAAAACCCCCCCATCCACCAAGAGTCCCCACCTCAGTCCAGTCTTACCCCCATCATACCTGGGTTACATAGTGAGGAGTTATGGGAAGAAAATAGACCTTGTCGGCCAGCCCCTGAGAGGTCTGCACTGTGGCAATGTTGGGGTTGATCAGCAATGTCTGGATGTTCTCTTCCTTCAGGGCTTTAATTGCCTAAGAGGACAAGAATGACCCATCAGCTTCTATTATAGAAGCAAGTCTTGAAATAGTCTTTGGCCAGCATTTCTACTCTTCTTCTTCCCCTCCTTATAATCTCAGTTCCCTAATAACTGATTTCTATCCTTCACCACCTCCTTCTTTCTGTATATCCTCAGACTTCCTCCCTATAATCAACATTACTTCAGTCCTTAAGACTCTATTCACATTTGCAGGTCACATACACTGAAGGGTGCAGATGACTATGACTTACCTGAGAGCCTGAATAGTCAAACTCCCCAGCTTGGCCAATGGAGAGGCCCCCTGAGCCTAGGATCAGAACCTTTCGTGGTGGTGGAAGACCAGAGCCAGGGGCAGGAAGCCCAGCTGGACAGAGGCGCTCGGCCAGCCGTTCTCGAACTGTAGAAACAAATAAAGTCAAGGAATGGCACAGCTTAGTGGGACCCAAGACACCATCTGGATTAGTCCCTTCACTTTCAGAAGAGTTCAGAACAAATCATGCATCTAATGACAGAGAGAGGACTACCAGAACCCAGGACTCATGACTCTGGAGTTCCTAACAGAGGTGACATAAACTGTCTGAGCTTGCTTATCTTCCCACCACTCCCAAACTCCAACAAGTATTTCTGGGGCATGTTGATGATTGTTTAGGTCCACAATCCAATTCTACTCAGAGTGCTTACCTGTCTGGCCTCCAGGGTTGCCAGCTGCAGCCTCTTTCACAGTTTCCAGAAAGATATCAAAAAGTAATTCCATATCTGAAGGACCTGCTTGGTGCTCTGGGTGAAACTGGACACTGTTGAAGAGATTGGATGCTTTATCACTGGCATGACATCAGCAGCCTCAGAGGTGGGTAGTGGACAGAGGGGACTCAGTTCTACTGCTGGGCTTTACTTTCCCCATCTTCAAAGACCCTAGGGCTTCAAGGCCACACACTTGCCAGTTACCCTGGCAAGACTATACAGGCTCACCTGAAGAATGGCAGGTTGTCATGTACAATGCCTTCATTAGAACCATCATTGGCATTGGTGAAGAGAGGAGCCCAGCCTATGGGCAGGGAGTCTGTTTCCACAGCAAACCCATGGTTCTGGGATGTCAGAAAGCAGCGTCCAGAGCCCACCAACAAGCAGGGCTGGTTATGGCCTCGATTCCCATATCTGGAGATAGAAGCATGTCAAGTCACAGGCCCCTTTCACTCTCTTTCCTTCTGTGCCAAACCTAGCTCTCCTGGCCCTCATTACTTGCTAGCCCCACTCTTGTTCATACACTAACACTCTCTGACTCTCTTCCAGTCCCCAATGTACCCCACGCCCCCCTCATGTTACAATTGTGTCACCTTCCTCTTCTCACAAGTCTCACCTCATCTTGTAGGTCTTAGCCCCAATGGCTAAGGCCAACAATTGGTGTCCCAGGCAGATCCCAAACACAGGTCGGGGATTAGGCTCAGATAAGACACGGCTCAGTGTGGCTACCACACTGGGATAGGAGGCAGGATCACCAGGGCCATTGCTTAGGAAAAGACCATCATACTCTGCAGTGGGCAGAAAAGATATCATTGAACATAGGATTTCAACCAGAAGAGACAAACCACAGCTCTTATCATATGAACAGAAGCCCTGGTGCCTTGTCTTTTTCACTGAGACTATGCTATTTTTACAGGAGTAAAAGTTGCTCCTAGCAACTAGACTGATGGACTGATTTTCCACCCAAGCTCCTGGTCTGAAGCCCTGGGCAGGCCACAGCTACTCACGTTGGCTGTCTAATTTATGGTCCCAGGGAACCACAGTGACCTCAGCCCCACGCTGGCAAAGACATCGAATCTGATTATATTTGAGGCCACAGTCCAAAGCAAGGATCCGAGGGATGCCCCCTGCATTGAATATCTGCGGAGTCTAAGGAATAAAGAGCAACAACAATTGGCCGCCATGATCAGCAGGTATAAGGTGTGCCCCCACCAACCCCTACCTTTGAGGTCCCCCTGATTCACCCTCACATATTTATCCCAGTTGTGGGCAGAAAATAACCAACATGCTTCCACTTACAAAATTCTGCTGTCCCTTTGTACCTTAATGGAGACCTCTGGCACCAGGGGCCGGGCATTGGGGTCCAAGAATTGCAGGGCTGAAGGCTCAGTCCCATCCTGGATCAACTTCCCAAGCAGAGACCCTTGTTCCCGCAACTTCTTAGTCAGCTCCCGAGTGTCCACTCCTATAAAAATAGCATAGTCTCAGAGATCACACTCCCCCAACTAAGTCATCCAGGAGCACTTTCATTCCAGAGACCTAAGTCACACACCACTATTTTATGGGCATCAAAATCCTGGTCAAACAGCTGAGGTTGTAGCTTAGTGGTAGGATGCCTGCTTAGCACCTCAGTACCACATAAAAATAAATAAAGGTATTGTGTCCATTTACATTAAAAAAAAAAAACAAACTCCTGATCAAAGGACACTACCATGAAGTATTTGTGCCCTGAATATCACATCTGAATTGAATCACAATTCTAGATCAATCCAATTACAGAAAGTTAATTCCACAAGGAAAAAGGATATGCTAACTTTCACTATAGGAATATAGCCAACAAACTATGGGATATTCCTAGGGAAAAATGACCTGTTTTCCTCAAATATGTTAAAGGTCCATAGATTACATTTAAGTAATAGCAACCAAATGTAGCATATGAACTTTGTTTAGAGCCAAATTCAAATAAACAAATAGTTAAAAGAAATTCCTGACCTGAGGAAATTTTCAACATTATCTGCATATAAGGAATGGATTTTTAAAAAATATAACAGCATTAGTCATTTTTTAAAAAAATTTCTTTCTCGTAGACATTAAACTACTGTAGATGAAATGATATGATGTTTGAGGACTGGGGTTGTGGCTCAGTGTAGAGCATTTGCCTAGCACACATGAGGCACTGGGTTCAATCCTCAGCACCACATAAAAATAAAATATAGGTATTGTGTCCACCTACAACTAAAATATGTGTGTGTGTAAGTTTTAAAAAAGTGATATGATGTTTGAGATTTGCTTTAAAATAACCTAGGGATGGTAACAGTGGTGATGAAATAAGATCAGTCTTGAGTGGATGATTATGGAATTCATTATACTATTCTTTCCTTTGTATAATGGAAATTTTCCATTTGAGTGATAGCTCAGTTTCTTCCCCAAGCCCCAAATGCCAATCTAAACCTTTGACACTTTCTGTCACCTTAGACCTTGGTTCTGAAAGACTTCAGAAACCTTCTGATTCTTTCCATCTAGGCACATTATGCTCTGTTGTGACACACCAGTGGCCTGTCACCACCATACCTTGCAGGCCAGGAATGCCATGCTGCTGCAGCCATTCATGCAGGGTGCAGGTGGCGCTCCAGTGGCTAGGTGTGGGGCAGCACTCTCCCACCACCAGTCCTGCCACATGGATCTTCGAGGATTCGAACCACTACAGACGAAAAGAGGAGAAGGTGAAGAGCTTGGGGCTAACTATCTCCCTACAGCATTTGCCCCCACTGTCTGGCCATAGACCTTCTACTTGACCACACTAGCTGACCTGTCATTCCTTCAATATACCTAGTATTTTATGCTTTTGCACGGATAGTTCCTTTACCAACTTTGCTGTGCACTATAGAAAATACTGAATATACAGGCTCAACATGCCTGATTGCTGAAAATGACAATCTGCTTTTCCCTTATCCAAAATTGAGTTCACAAATCCTCTTTTCTGTGAAGGAATTCCCATTCACCCACTATAGCTTATGTCTCCTTCTAAGATTTCACCTAACACCTTCCCTTCTTGCCATTTACATTGTATTGTGAATATGTATTTATGTCTGACGACACAGTATCAGTTAATAAACATTTACTAAATGTTCACTAAGTGCAAGCATTTTAATAGATGCTGGGGAAAAGCAGGGAGTACAAAAAGAAGAGGTTCCTATCTTCATGATGTTAATTTCTGATTTAGGGAGCCAGAAACATATAAATAAATGTTAATTATATAGTGTGATAAAAAAAATAAGTTGCACAGTACAATACTAGACATCATATTCTTTTCCCACTTTATTAGGGATTATCATTTAAAAAAGTATAACACAACTTTGTTACTCAATAAATAATAACAAAACAAAGTTTCTGTGGGAGGGAGTAGCACACTTAAATCACATTCAGCTCAATGGTAAAGGGTTTAAAGGAAGATGGATTTAATCCACACATGTGCAAGTCCATTTACAGCACACGTGCCACAAAAGTATCAGTGTTAGGCTAAGGTTTTAGGAGGCCTCACTTCCACTGACCCTATCAGGATCTCAATTTTGCAGTTTTATAAACTCAATTTTGTCAGTGTGTCCACAGCTGATAAAGTTGATGACTGACATATGTTAACCAAATTCACAAGATATTGCATTATAAACTAGAATTCAGTGGTTTAAAGGTTTATAATGAAGAAGGGTTCTTTTCAGGAATAACAATGAGAGTATCTCTTATTCAGTGCTCCCTTTTGCCAGGAGAGCAAATCAAGAATCAAAGGCTCAGCAAGCCTAGAATCAGGCCAAAGTAAGTTTTGAGGAATAATGAATCTAGGCTATGGTGACTTCCACTATTACCTAACTGCTATGTGTTGGTTCTTTTTTTTTTTTACTTGAACTCTCAGAGGGCAACTTAGTTTCCAAATTCCAAGGAGAAAGACTAGGGAAATCTCACTCTAGCAGGAGACTCAATTTTATAATTTAGAATAAAAACACTTGAAAAGTAGAAAATGAGAAAAGGCAATGTAAGAAGTCTAAAGGATAATAATCAATGTCACTGGTTTTGTAGGTAAACTAGTACCCACTGTCACCCAGAAAGGCATGACCCTTTCCAATCTCCTATTAATTTATGTAATGCCGGAGCCCAGCTCTCCTCACATGATTCTACTGTTATAAATCCTTTGCTGGTTCCTTAAAAAATTAAGCTCAAATTGGTTTGGCTTCAAGCCCTCCAGACTCACTACAACCTATCTGCAGGACTTTTATTTCTGCATTCCTAGCTATTTGGACAACTGTTCTCCCAAACCTTTGCCACTTTCCTGGCTCCATGCCTTCACTACAGACAAAATATTGCACTCTGCGCTTCTCCAGGTACTTAACAACCCCTACCTACAGTTGTCTTAGTATTTACCGCTTCAACGGGTATCTTTGTTCTTTCCAGGATGCCTAGCAGGGTGTCAATGTCGTCACTTCACCAACAACTACTGATTTGAAAAGAAATGTAGAGAGAAAGGATTGGGCGTGGCTACCTTTCGGAGGCCGAACTCATCCACTTCATCTGGGGGGATGCCATAGTTGCCGATCAGAGGATATGTCAGCACTAAGATTTGTGCTTTGTAGGAAGGGTCAGTGAGAGCTTCGGGGTAGCCGACCATGCCGGTTTGAAACACTGCAAAAAGAGGCACGGCTGGACTCCGGCAAGGGCACCCTTCACAACACCGCCAGAGCGGAGGTTACCCTCGTGGAGGCTGCCTTGGTAGTGGGGGGTGAAAGGGCCGGGGCCGTGGCACGGATGGGGATGAGGGAGTGTGTAGGTGGGGCCTGGGCACCGCGGGTTGGGTAGAAGGGCATCTGAGGGGATGCGGTCGGCAGCCCGCCCGGGCTTGCTTACCCACTTCCCCGGCAGTCGACACAGCGGCCCCGAAGGGCCGGCCCCGCAGCACTGACCCGTCCTCCAACACCAGGGCCGCCATGGGAACCGAGCTGAAGCAGGGGTGAACCCAGAGACGCAGGAGGCGCTGCACGCCCCACTGGAACCACGCGAGGGCGGCGCGCCGGAGTCGGTCCACGTGGCTAGCAGCACAGAGCGCTAGAGAGAAGGCGGGCGCCGCAAGGTAAGAGCCCTGGGCGCGCTCCGCGACTGCACGACTGCGGCGGCGCGAGCAGCAGGCAGCGTGAGGGGCGGGGCCGGGCACGTTCGGGGCGGGGCTCGAGGTGCGCCCGCGTCGTCCCGGCTGCGCCAAACCAGCGAGACCTGAAAAACCCGGCCTCCACGAAGCTGCCCCCCAAGCAAGAAACACGAAAGACTAGCCGCCTTTCCCTAAAATGTAAAAAAGAAAAAAGAGAGGGAAAAAAAAGGGGAAAAGTTCTTCTTTTTTTTTTTTTTAAATGTTTATTGTAGTTAACAGCACAAATGGGAACTGGTACTGGTTCATTCCTGACTCAAGAGTGTCCAACACTGGTGTAGTGCAATTTTTCTTTTTCCTTCCAAATGCAGCCTCAGACTTAGGAGGGTCCGTTGGTCAATGATGCCCGTCAAGTTAACAAATCTTCCTTGCTGGGCTATATACATCAGGATGATCTTAGGTCAGTAGGAAGCCCTGTGTAGTTCATGAAGTCTTGGCTTTTCGGCGCTGGGTTCCCCAAAGCAAAATGGAGAGGGATAGTGTGGTGGATCCCAGAATCCCAAAGAACATAAATAGTGAGAAGGAGCCCTGTGATTAACCAAAAAAAAAAAAATTACACAGCATTCATTGCACAGAGGACTACATCCTAACACCTAGTTCATTCTGGGCAATTCCCCTATAGCTCCTCTTCTCTAGGTAACTGGCATCAGCTTCTTGTGGCTTTCCTTTCAGTGAGGTTCCTGCCCTATGCATTCCTTTTATTACTAATAAGAAGATCAAATCCTTACCTGGTGCATACACTTGTATCCGTGGAAGCCATCAGCACAAACACACTGCAAGAGACCAGGACCATCAACTGCACAAGATCCATTCTCGGGACACATTTCTGGAAGTCAGAAAGAAAGGAGAACATCACTGAATGGCATCAGGTTTATTCCAAAATATGTGCTTTAACTTAGTTCTCAGAATACAAATAATCAGAACATAATAATATTTAAGATCTTTTCTTTCCAAAGAGTTAAAGCCTCAGATCTTCAAACAAAAGACAACTTAAGTATCATTATATTTCTGATCTAAAACAGATAATATAAGGGAGGAAAGGAAATGCTCAGAAGGGTGGAGATAAGACAGCATACCTGGGTCTCCAGTGCTATTGCAAAGGTTCCTTTGCCCTTGGCAGATCTTGTTGTCTTTATAAGAGATAACTTGTTTCCAGGCATTATTACCCCCAGGACAGCTTATATCTTGTGGCAGTACCCTGAAGACAACATAGGTGATCATAACATGCAGCCTGAGGGGCTGAGGGTGTAACTCTGAGGTAGAGCAAATGCTTAACATGCAAGAGCCATAGATTCAATCCCCAACACCAAAAAGAATAAAATAAAAGAAAGAAGAAAAAGAAAATGTAGCCCAAAGTTATTGAATTTGTAGCATTTGCCCTATCCTGTTACTCACAGAGTCTGGAGCTGGATAAAGCCACGGAAGGTGTTGGCCAAGTTATCCTTGAGAGGGTTTGCTTGAAGGTCTCTGCAAAGCACACACTGTTCAGGAAAGCATCTTTTTCCTGATTATCCAATATTAATATTCATTCACTTTCTAAAGGGTCCATCTCCAAAGATTTTCCTATCAACACTTTATCATATTCACCTTTTGGGCAAGAGGGTACCTAACCACTTACATGATAACAGCAGTATATGCTTGAGGAAAGTTTGGCCCAGGATCCTCCAAAGAACAGTTCTGGAGATCCAATCTGAGGAAATAAAATAATTAGTATAACTATGTATCTTTTTTTTTAATCCAAGGCAAGGTTTGTATTTGATTATGCAGTCCCCCTTTCAGCTAATGATAATTGAATACAATTGTTTAGAGCCACAGACTAGGTGTTGTGGTAGACATTTCAATCATGCATTATCTGATACAATCAATACTAGCTATATGTAGTTACTTTAATTTAGTCTAAAAATTCAGTGTTTCATTTGCATTAGTCACATTTCAAAGTGCATGTGAAATAACCACCTTAGTGGCTATGTTTTGTTTAGTACAGATTAGAACATTTCCATTATCACAGAATATTCTATTGGACCAAACTGTTCTAATACTTTTTTCTATGCACTGTGCAAATATTGGAAGAAATTTTGTTCTTGTTTAGATTAGTGAATCTTATATCGATTCTCAGATCCACAGAAAACATTTAAATTAAAAAAAAAATGTATCACATACAATTTTTTTTCCAAGTGCAATTTCTATTACCGACGGATTCTAAACTCCTGGACATTAAACTCCATGACATGCTATTTTTTCTTCACTATCTATTGTTTTCCAGTCCTTTATTTTACAAACATTTACTGAGTGCCATGTGCAGTGGTGAACACCTGTAATCCCAGCATCTTGAGAGACAGAGGCAGGAGTACCACAAGCTTGAGGCCAAAGGTATAATTTAATGAGATGTGTAAAATAAGCAGGATTGGGGATGTAATGTAGTGACACAGCTCCCCTGGGTTCAATCACCAGTACCGGGGGGAAAATTTACTGAGTAACTACAAATGCAAAAATTAGGAGAGGATAAAATATATATAACACAGTATCTTAGTCTTCAAGTGGATTACAATGTAGTAGGGGAACAAGAGCATAACTTAAAAAAAAAACTAAAAATACATTAAATTACAATATGAAAGAAATCATAGGAGACCATATACAGAAATTTGAATGGTATAAACACTAAGTGTTACAAGGGAAAAGATATTACTCTGGGATGTGGTAGTAGGGAGCATTCACAAAGGATGTTGAAATTTAAGTATTGCTATGTCCTAACTTGGTGGAGGAATGCAATTTTAGTTATGGAAAGAGGCATGAAGAAACAAACAAAAATGGAATGCCTTTGGGGAGGAGGCAAGTCTGGCTGGAGCTAGACCTTATGGAGGGTTTGAGTGGGCAAGTAATTTAAATGATGGACAAACAGGTTGGGACTAGTTATGGTAGTTCATATTTCAACTGTATCCTGTGGGCAAGAAATAGTTACACATACAATATGAAGGCAAGAGAATGATAATGAAAAAAATTGGCTTTCAGAAAGTTTAACACAGGAAGTATTTAGGTAGATTAGGGAAAGAAGAGAACGAGAGCAAGGCATGACATTTTCCAATTTGAAGTTTAGAGTGTACCCAGGAAGAAATGTTTAATAGGTTAGAGATACCCACATGTACCTGGAGCTTGAAGAAGTCAAAGGTCACTAAAAGATACCTAATTTGGGGAGAGATTTGCATGATGGTTATAGTTGAAACCATTAGGAATAGGCAGATTCTTGGGCAGGATGGCACATATCTATAATCCCCACACATTGGGAGGCTGAGGCAGGAGGATCAAGAGTTCAAAGCCAGCCTCAGCAATTTACCATGGCCCTAAGCATCTCTGTGACATCCTGCCTCTAAATAAAATAAAAAATATGGCTAGAGATGTGGCTTAGTGGTCGAGTGCCCCTGAGTTCAATCCCCCATACCCTCCCCTAAAAAAAAAAAAAAAAAAAAAAAAAGGCCCCCCCCCCCCCCCCCCAAAAAAAAAAAAAAGTGTAAAGGGAGAAAGGCAGCCAGGCCAAGGAGTGAATCTGAGGGGTTAACCTGAAAAAAGGGCCAGGAAGAGGAATTTGTCGTAAAGAAAAAATGAATTAATCAGAAAAGGAAGAAAAGCCTTATTAGTGCAGTGTCTTGGAGAATAAGGGGAGAATCTCTTCCAGACACACAGTAAATAACCCAAGTCTTGATAATAAACAAAAGAACAAAGCTCTTTTCAAAATGGTGCCATAAAAGCCCTTTTTTGGTACCAAAGGGACTTAACCATTGAGTCACATCAGCAGCATCCCCCCCCCCCCGCCTTTTTATATTTTAGCTAGAGACAGGGCATCGCTTAGTTGCTTAGTGCCTTGCTTTTTGCTGAGTCTGGCTATGAACTCGCGATCCTCCTGTCTCAGCCTCCTGAGCCGCTGGGATGACAGACATTCACCACTGAGCCCAGCATAAAAGCCTATTTTTAAAAAGGCCCAAACTATGACTTTTAAGCAGTTTCATCCAGGAAGCACAGGATTGTTTACCTAGCCAAAAACGCTATAACAAATTTAAAAGTTTGAGGATCATGGTTTAGATGCCTCCGGTTAGGCACCAATATTTATCCCAAAACCCAATCTGGCAAGGATTGTAGATTTAGGTCTGAAACTCTTTTCCGGTGTCCAAGGATGTCTTCTACTCCCTCACCCCAAGATGGTGCCCTTTTGATTCAGGCAGCAGCGGGCCTGCAGCATTAGCTCCGGAGTCTGCTTACAGTAAAGGGCCACGTTTGACAAATTTTGCACACTCCCCGGACACTGGGTACATATCTGCAGAAGAGAAAGAAACCTTATTAGGGTTGTAGAAAGAAAAGCCAAGAGAACAAACAAGGATCAAGAATTCACTGCCAGTACACCTCTCCAGAATTCCTCTAATGCAGGGGAGATGGCTCATGTCATATCTTTTTATCAGGCTGGACTAGGAGATGCCATTTCTTCTCCTAAAGCTGGGCGCTGAACGAGTGAGTCAGATTTTCAATACCAGTCTTCACAGAGTAAAGATCTTTAACTTTGAGGATTACTACACAAGGTTTTTACTATGGTCTCTCCAGAGACTTCGCATCTTGGCAGCCCCAGTTTAGCCGAGCGTAAAAGGACTGCAGGAACACAAAGAACTCGTCAAGCATTACAGAAAGAATAGTCCTATCACCGCACCACGCACGGCATTCGTGACTGGACAGCTTGCAAAAGAGTCATAGGACTCATCCGCACGAAGAATTTAAAACTATTCAAAGGCTGAGGAGAGAGGAGGTCGAATTTCATAGGTCTTTGAATGTGGGCAGGGCGAGGGCGCGGAGGCCTGGGCAACGTGAGTACTGTGAGTACTCGGGAGTAGGATCCGTCTGGGGTATTCCTGGGACTAGGATCTGGAGGCCTCGAGGAGGAAATCCGAGCTTGAGCCGGCAG